TGTAACAAGTATTTTTGGTGTCAGGATAAATGCATGGCGTAAGAAGTACATTATTTTCTTTAGGAATGTAGTGAAGTCAAAGTAAAAGTTGTCAAACATATAAATAGTAAAGTAAAGTACAGATACCCAAAAAAACGACTTAAGTAAAAATACTTTAAAGGACTACTTAAGTACTTTACACCACTGCAGCTGCTTGAGTACAGACAGTGGTTGTGATACTCCAGGACCATTTCCAGGCCTAAAGGGTGCCATCTGTCTGTTCCTAGCCTGACAAGAGCCTGAGCTGGCCATAAGTTCAGCTGACCGTGACTAATCAAAACATCATTCATTCTCTGCTTTCTGCTGCATTTGAGCAAGTCAACCAAGGAGAAAATCGGATTCCTCTCCCTGGACAGGACAAATGGACGGACCAGAGGGCAGATGAGGCGACAGAGAGGATGACGTGACTGACCAAGCAGAGTTGAGGAAAGGCCATCACATGGAGAGAACAGAACATAGGAGAGACATACCACAAAGAGTTATCTTTCTCTGTTTGAGGTTGAATAAAGTCAGGGAGCATCTCCTCTCTCTCACACACAATAACACACACACAAACAAATGCACACACACACAGAAAATAGCCAAAACGATATATGGATTGGGTAAACACTAGCATTTACAAAGCCAATCAATGCTGACTCATTAACCTATCTGGACTGCCACAGTTACATCCTGCTCCACTATTTAGCATAAACACATTGTAGAGGGGATAGAGCCTGCAATCTCTTTCACAGCTCCCAGGGCAACACTCATCACTATGGTTTCAACATTCCAACATGGCAGCCGCCAACAGATAGCTTGGGGGTGAGCTGCTAATGGGCTGGAGAGAGGCTTGCATCGACCTGGTGCTACACAGCTTGATTCATTTTAGGAAGTACCATTGAAGCCACTGCTATAACAGTTCTAATGAATACATCGAGTTAGCCTTTAATGACTCTAATTTAACCTGGCATTTTGTGTGGAACGCTAAATAGGACAGAACATGATGCAGGTTGGTGTGGACTGCAGTGGTCTGTTTCAGCTTCTTGGTGGCAAGGGCAAGAATGTAGAGAAGTCTACATATATCTGAAAAAGCTTGGCTGGAGTGGAGCAGCGGGTTGAGATTCATGTAATCAAATGGGGGCCCATACCTGTAAAAGGAAGGAGCAATAGGGGAGGCTGGGAGAAAGAGGCACACAACTGCATCAAATTTTGGGTAAAACAATGGTATCTTGTGTATGCAGTTAAATCTAGAACGTAGTAGGCCACTGTATCATTTATTTCAGAAGCATACAGGACTAGAAAAAGTTACGTAATGGCCTTATTTATATCGCCGCTTTGTCTGTAGTGCCACTTTGTCTGCGAGACACCCGTTGGCAGTGGTAAGCCCAGAGTTGGCCGCAGTCGAGCACTCCGCTCGTATGCACCGGTTCTTGCGTATCATTGCGAGCATCTGTGGCCCTCCAGTAAGCCTGGCTGCAGTGGCTGGAGATGACATAGACTGCTAGAAGCAGGAGTCCAGCCACTCAATAAAATGTGAAGAGATACTGGAAGATAAGTGGATACAGATGCAGATGTGCAACGCACCTCTGTTGTGTAATGCAATCTCCAAAGACCACACTATGGAGGGCATGTTTTTTATCATGTGGCTTGTTGGACAAAGTCTTTACGAATAGCCTAGTCGAGGCTAGGTGCCATCTGGTTTCCATACCAACAGGCCAGATAACTCAAGCGCTCCCCTCCAACACAGACCACACTCTTCTTTCTCACCAAGAAGACCTTACAAAAAGATGTCAAGATATACTGAAAAAAAATATAAACGCAACATGTAAAGTGTTGGTCACATGTTTCATGAGTTGAAATAAAAGATCCCAGAAATGTTCCATACGCACAAAAAGCTTATTTCTCTCACATTTTGTGAACAAATTTGTTTACATCCCTGTTAGTGAGCATTTCTCCTTTGCCAAGATAATCCATCCACCTGACAGGTGTGGCATATCAAGAAGCTGATAAAGCAGCATGATCATTACACAGGTGCACCTTGTGCTGGGGACAATAAAAGGCCACTCTAAAATGTGTAGTTTTGTCACACAACACAATGCCACAGATGTCTCAAGTTTTGAGGGAGCGTACAATTGGCATGCTGACTGCAGGAATGTCCACCAGAGCTGTTGCCAGATAATTGAATGTTAATTTCTCTACCATAAGCAGCCTCCAATGTCGTTTTAGAGAATTTGCCAGTAAGCCCAACCAGCCTCACAACAGCAGACCATGTGTAACCACGCCAGCCCAGGACCTCCACATCCGGCTTCTTCACCTGCGGGATTGTCTGAGACCAGCTACCCGGACAGCTGATGAAACTGTGGGTTTGCACAACCGAAGACTTTCTGTACAAACTGTCAGAAAACATCTCAGGAAGCTCATCTGCGTACTCGTCGTCCTCGCCAGGGTCTTGACCTAACTGCAGTTCGACGTGGGTGGGTAAAATCACTGTGGAAGCCAAGCCCCCCCCCCCCCAAAATTTGTTTTTAATAAAATAAGACATATTACAACCTACACTGTATGTGTTGTGATAATTGTGTTGTTTGCTGTTAATTCATATGCCTTGTGACCGTGATATATAGGCCTAAAGGCCGAGACAATAAGAAGACAGTCACAGAATAAATTCAACCACACCTTTTCTTAATCACAAAACGGGATAGCAACCTCTATCCGGTGAAGTCCACGACACATATTGCATGTAATAGACAGTTACATGACCTACAGCATGGTTAAGCAAGTTAATGTTTCCGACATTTTCAGACCACTAAACAACTATTGATTTAGAACCACAGAGAGTTACCGCAAGTCGCAAAGAAAACAGGAGCTATTCCAGCAGCATAATCAAATCACATAATCAAATCACCTCTGCTTAGTCTAATACAATGACAACTAAAAGAAAAAAAACGATTTAGTCCAATCAACATAAGCTAAATATGATGTGGTTGTCCATGGTTCTGATTTCTGTTTGTGTGCGTGCAAGTAGAAAACATGTTGACTCAACCTACTTCTAGAGAAACGCCAATGCCATCCTCCTCTCTTTCATATTGATGAAACAGTCTATCACTCTGTCATACAGTACACGCTTTTATTTTTTGTTGTCCTAGGCTACCTGGCTAAAATGCTTGCTCGCTAGCCTAACTTCCATTCATGGGAAATGTTAGCTAGTTAACATTAGCCATCTACATCTAGCTACTATACATATTGAACTTCCATCCTCTTAGGCCTGGAGCACAACAATTTATGAATTAATGGTTGGATCAGCATCACGTTAAAATCATTGGCCAGTACGGAGAATTAAGTAAAACCACAAGTCCAAATCCCTGTCTCCATCCATGGTTAATTTAGGAAAGGGCCAATTTTAGCTAGCTAGCTAGCTAGCCACCAGAGGACAACAACACAACGAGATGCAACAATTCAAGTTGTTTCTGTTAATGACGTATGCTCTCAAAGCGATTTGATAGAAGAGACGCTAAATCCAAGCTTGCTTCCCTTGACACTTTATTTTTATTTTCGCCAGGACCATTCACAGGTGAGCCCAATGCTGATTGGCATTTTTTTTTGTCAAGGGAGGCCAAATACTTACTGGCTTCCCTTGCATTCAATGCTACAGGCGGCAACAATATCATACTGGTTTGGACCATCAGATAGATGGCCTACACGTAGAGAGACAGAGGGGCGCTGTTTCGCTCGCTCTGATTCTTTCTCCTGTGAGATACATTCAGCCTCTTGCAAACAGAAAATTCTGAAACAGAGACACGAAAGATACATTATTTTATGTTATTTTAATTATTATTTTGAAATGGGGCGGGGGGGGGGGGGGCCTGGCATCCCTTGGCGTCCATGAATACACGCCAATGCCTGCGGGATCGTCTGAGACCAGCCAGCCGGACAGCTGATGAAACTGAGGAGTATTTCTGTCTGTAATAAATCCCTTTTGTGGGGAAAAACTCATTCTGATTGGCTGGGCCTTGCCTATCTCCCAAGTGGGGGGGGGGCTATGCCCTCCCAGGCCTACCCATGGCTGTGCCCCTGCCCAGTCATATGAAATCCATACATGTTCTTATATGAACTGTAACTTGCATTTGTATTTTTGTTCAGTATAGTTTGGGCACTGTAAAACTAAGCTGATATTGAATCAACTGAATACATTTCCCAAAGTGTACCCTATTAACCTGAAACCTCAGATGGCCGCATTGCATGTATTAGACCTACATGCACATATTTGGATACCTGTCATGCAAGGAGAATAGAGACTAAACCTTGCCCTTTAAACATTTCTCTCTCTAGGTCAGCACTGTGTGTGCAAGCTTTCTTTTATTAGCACCTCATTAACATTCATTAATTGCTTCCTTTCTCCTGGGCGCAGCCACAATCAAAACAGGAACTGATAGAAATGAAGCGTAGATGGAGAGCAACAGTCCCGTGCTCCAGATACACAGTCAGTCCTGCTGCAAAAACATCCCACCCACCTACTCCCCTCCTGCTCCCCTTTAGCACACAACCCCCCCCCCCATCTGTGCTGAGCAGGAGACTTATTAGGGGCATTCCTATTCCCATCTCATAAGAAAGAGGTCAGAGCAACTTAAAGAAGTAGATGTACATTTTATTTACTTGTTCTGTACATAAAAGGGTCATATATCAGCACGGGTGTTAACCATGGGAAATATTAACACATGTAAATGGTATAAGAAAATAAAAAGGCACCATTTTTCATTTTGAATTAAGAATACGTGGAGGCTCTCTTAAAACATGAGGGGAAAAGCACAGCAATACTTTTAATGCCTTTACAAAACAAATCTGAAGCAGGTTGAAAACATCTTTACCTAACAAAAAAACGAGAATTAGGATTGATGTATTGCTTAATCAGATGGGTTTATATGGAGGTTGGACAAGGAAAACCAAACTACATTTGAATGGATTGATTCCACAGATGCTTTCAAAAAACAAAACTCTAATTCATATTTTAATGCGGAAATCAGAACTGACAAAGCAGCATTTGACCTGGAAGAGAAACCTCAAGGCCAAGAGGTCATGCACACCAAGAGGCATGTTTTTTTCCCTTTTAAAAAGTGACCTGTCAAATTTTTTCAGTCTACCAGCTGGCTAACAAAATAAACAAAAACAGTACAGTTGGCACACGATTGATAGCTGTACAATGGTATTACTCTACCCAATGAAAAAGCTCAGGGGGATTGAGGGAAAGCACTCGGGGAGAGACAACAGCAAGGGTAAGTCTGTTTTCTTCTTTACAGCAGAGATCTAATAGAGCACTTTATCAGCGCGCACACACACACACACACACACACAAAGGCCTCAGAGCAGGACAGCTCTGGCATCAGACATACCCAAGACAACCATGTTTTCTCCTCAGGTCCTGTGCTCGACAGTCAACACTGTCTAGAAACAAGACAGGAGTGTAACCAATCACCACCTTACGGAACCTGGAGAGAGAGCAGGGAAGGATTGCTTGTACGAAAGTTGCATTTTCAGTGAAAGGCATTGATGGGGTGTCATTGGCTGGATGAAACCTTTTCCCACCTCCCGTGACCAATATCATTGGATGCAGGAGGCATCCGTTTCATAGAAAAGCCCTTACCCCTCAACAGTATTTATAAGTCCTCTTATATCATTGGCTATAGCATGGTCACAGCCATGCACATACACTATGACAAACACCTTGCTCAGCACTCCTGAATTTATGGCACAATTAAAACAAAAAGATGTCATCACATATGGCCATTTCACATGTTGTCTTGGGAAAACATAAATACGGGAACTCTGTCGACTAGGTTCATGTCACTGAGGCTGTGGGCTTTTCCACAAGGCAAGATCCATGTGGGCTTGTCCTCCTCTGTCATCATCTGCCTTGTCCTCCTGTCCCTGTCAGCTCAGCTTGTGTCAGACAAGAGACGCTGATCCTCACACACACACAGCAGTTGCCCTAAACAAGTAATGGCCAACCGTTGTGTATGTGTGGCTGTGGTTAAGGTACAACAGTGAATGATTGTTTGGAGAGACAGTTAACTGGCTGGTTTTATCCTCAGGCCCCACCTAGAGCCCTCTATGCCTTTGCTCTCCTGACCTCAGTCAGTCCATGTGATGTTCAGTCACCTTTCACTCTACATTAACCTCCTCCCATCCACAACACGAAACACACAAGAAAGCTCTCAACAAATCCCAAAGTATTAAAATGTAACAAAAGATCAAATTTAAAAAATGACCAGGTAAGACATGGCATCGTGGGACCCATGGCAACACACACATAACCGTGGCAACGGCCAGTGGTATGGAAATTAAAGGACATAAAGGCAAAAATCACTGACCAAACTGTAACCAAGTTGGGGATGTGGGAGTTTAGTTGAGTCTGTAAACAGTCAAAAAGCTGCACGATGGTTGGCGTGACAATAACAGGGAGTGCTGCGGCATAGCCTCAAGCAGGCAAGCGCATAACCGTGGTGACACTGGCAGGCGGGGTGGAGACAGCCAGCAGGTTTGGGTGTCACTGTGGGGAGGATTGGTTGGTTGGGGTCCAGGTCATTCACACTCGTCTGGATTCTGGGGGTCCATTATTTTGACGTGGGTGAAGGGGAAGAGACCCCTCCGGCCGTTCACCTCTCCCTCCCACTGCCCGCTGATGTTCATCCTCGTCACTTTGACTATATCACCCACCTGAGGAGAAATGGAGGATGGAGTTAGACTTTTCCTTAATCCCACAGACAAATGGGGTGGAAAATTAAAAAGGACAAGTGCCAACAGCAGCCATCACACATTAACTGACACTCACTGAAAAAGTGATTTGGTCAACCCTCCATGTATTTGACACTGTACTACGGTTATGACAGGCTGAGCAGAAAGCCATAAATCGGATGCTTTGTGACACTGTGCGTGACCCCAAACTGCACAGACCATATGCCATTTACTCAGGATTAAATGTGGAAAGTTGGCATTGTTAAGAGGAAGATTAAAACCTGAAAGTGGAGGGAAGGCTCTAGATGTTGTAGAAGAAAGATTGGATCAGATGAGGCTTCAAGGACATTGAAGTTATCTAGACCTATCTGCTATCCATAATCATAATCCTTCAGGCCAATTTCTCAACTTTAATACTGCCATTTGTAATCAACGCATGCTCTTCTTACATAGTGAAAGAACAGGTTGATGTACTCAACATTTAAAAGGTGTAATATGCAGAAATCGCTCCCCCATTTCCTGGTTGATAAAATTCTAATAATATGCCTAATTTCAGTTTATGTGACAAAACAAGCAATGTGTAGAGAATCATTGTACCATATAAACTGCTGTAAAATATAGTGTACAAAAAACGAAAGTAAGACGCAAAAACTAAAGAGTACATAGAACAGATCTACCGCTTCTTCAGACTTGCTTTCAATGGAGAATGACAGATCTATAACTCACATTTATATGTGAATTAGGTCAGGTCGACCAAAAAGCTTTAATAGAACTAATCTGACTACAAAGATTAAAGTGATGGGTGAATGGGGTCCTGAATAACCACTGTGTAAAATCCCAATGTATAGGCTACTAGCACTTTCTTCATATAAGAAATGATCCTGTTGTGTGGTGATACTATATTTTAAACTGATTTTAAGAATGGTCCTTATTACAATGCAAATTATGCTAAGAATAACTTTAATATATTTTCAATAGTCAAACGTTAGTAATAACCAGATTTCAGTAAGCCTCTCTGTAATGAGAGTGGGTGGGTGGTGCAGTAGATCACAAGGTATATTCCTCCCTTCAGATGAAGTTTAGTATAATGACTTTGAGGTGCTGTTTCCGGAAGCAGATAGGACCCAAAATAGACTGCTGCTAAATTGTAGGTTTCTGATGTAGGCCATGACCTACTCAAAGCAATCCAGAGATAGCGAAAGAGATAGCATTAGTGAGTGTGTGAAAGGGTGGAGAGAAAAAAGAGAAAAAAAAGCGAGCGAGCGATGAGAAATGAGAGACTAGAAAAGAGACAGAGATGAAGTGTAAAAGACTGTAATAATAAAATACCTTACACATACGGACCAGTGGAAGCTCCTCAGAGGAGGAAGGGGAGGCCTAGGGCTGACCCCATTTAGTCGACTGGTCGATTGTTTGGTCGATAGGCTGTTGGTTGACCGATAATTTTCTTGTCAAGCAGTGGCAAAAATGTTGGTTAATTCCCATAATTTCGAATCTACAATGTTTGTTTGGTTACCGTAATTTCTGTTATTGTATTTCATATATTATTATTACAACAGTCTTTTACAGTTCTCATTGTTGAAGTTGACACGTTGCTTACAGAGCGCACAACCTAGGCTACACTTGTGAGAAAAAAGATTTGGTTCATTCCATTCCTTTTACAAGTTGTCAATTTATTCATTGTGTTTTGTTTGGAGCACTCCTGTCAATGTTGAGTAAGGACGCGCACCTGACTACGCATAGAAGTAGGCCTAGGCTACCTGGCCTGCGTGCAAATGTAGGCTTTTAAAAATGTGCCCAATTGGGAATCTGATAGTATTTCTGATTGTCTTAACTCACCAGTATTAATGAGCTGTGGAGCCTCACAAAAGTAAAACATTTCTCCACCTCAAACAGCAAGTAAACAAAGTATGTTTTTACATCCATTGAGAATGACAATAGTTCCTTAATGTAGCCTATTTGAAAAATATTTCCAGCTCTCTGCCTTTCGATAACCACTGTGTGAAAGGGAACAATGTCATGCTCTGATCCAGTGGGTTGAAATGTCAGAAAATAGGCCTACCTGATTACTTCTTATCCCTTGTGCAAATAGCCTACAGCTGTATCTTTCCGGAGCTCACCAGCATGGGAAACTGAGGGTCCAGAATATTTTATACAATGTTGCAAGTTTGTTAGCACAAGCATCAGGCTGGACCAAGTTGATACGATGTTTAAAGTTCCTTGCAGACAGGCCATGAGTAGCCAACGTGATTTCTTTTTAAATCAGGATATTTTCTACCTTCAGGCTGCAATGTTTTTATTTGTAGGCTTTATGTAGGCTATTTTTACATAGTTGGCAATGGAAGTTACTTTTAGATTTGTATAATTTTCATATAACATGACAATGATTGAGATCCAAAGATTTTATCCTAAAATAAATTAAACTGTTCCACGAAAATGTGCATATGAAAATCATAACTGGCACGCAGATCGGTAGAAATTGTAAGATAAATTAGGACTTCAAATGGAAAAAGGTTATCGACCACTGGTGTAGCCGATTACAGGCAACTTCGGGAGCGTAGTGGCAGAATCTGCGAAAGCCAGCGGGAGAAGGTGGTTCGGGAAAAGGTTTTTTTCTTCTAGTTAGGCTAATTGTTTTGTAAAACACTGTTTTGCAATGAAGGTCTACAGTAGCCTCAGCAGCACTCTGTAGGGTAGTACCATGGTGTAGCCGGAGGACAGCTAGCTTCTGTCCTCCTCTGGGTATACTTACACAGTGATTATGACAATTAACGTCCTCCAACCTATCAGAGCTCTTGCAGCATGAACTGACATGTTGTCCACCCAATCAAAAGAACAGAGAATGAATCTAGTACTGAAAGCATAAGCTACAGCTAGCTAACACTGCAGTGCATCAAATGTGGTGAGTAGTTGACTCAAAAAGAATGACAATAGTTTAACCGTTTTGAACTAATTAATTTCTTCCAAAATTAAGAAGCAAGAGAGCTATATTTGGTAGAATTTGTTTTACTTTCACTTAGCTAGCTACTCAGAGGTATGCTATCTTAGCTAGCTGGCTATGCAACATCGGAACTCTTCCAAGTCAAGGTTTGTTTTTATTAATTTGTTGCCACAAGGGCCCACCGGTGTAACTGCTAAACTGCTTTCTGACTGTGTTGACTAAGGTGACAACGATGTAGGCTGTGTGTAGCGGTTAGCAGTCATGATATGAAGGTTTGGCTTGGAACGTTTTTTCCGCATGGTCACAGACAGCTGATGTGTTGTGCACTGAAGTCCACAAGCGAAGGGAAAAGGTGAGATGAGGAGAGCGCATAGATGCGAGATATACTGAACAAAAATATAAGTGCTGGTCCCATGTTTCATGAGCTGAAATAAAACATCTCATACATTTTCCATACTCACAAAAATCGTATTTCTCTCAAGTTTTGTGCACAAATTTGTTTACATCCATGTTAGTGAGCATTTCTCCTTTGCCAAGATATACCATCCACCTGACAGGTGTGGCATATCCAGAAGCTGCCTAAACAGCATGATCATTACACAGGTGCACCTTGTGCTGGGGACAATAAAAGGCCACTCTAAAATGTGCAGTCTTGTCACACAACACAATGCCACAGATGTCTCAAGTTTTGAGGGAGCGTACAATTGGCATGCTGACTGCAGGAATGTCCACCAGAGCTGTTGCCAGAGAATAGAATGTTAATTTCTCTACCATAAGGCACCTCCAACATTGTTTTAGAGAATTTGGCAGTGCATCCAACCGGCCTCACAACCGCAGACCACGTTTAACCACGCCAGCCGAGGACCTCCACATCCGATTCTTGACCTGCGGGATAGTCTTAGACCAGCCACCCGGACAGCTGATGAAACTGTGGGTTTGCGCAACCGAAGAATTTCTGCACAAACTATCAGAAACCATCTCAGGGAAGCTCATCTGCGTACTCCTGAGTGGCGCAGTGGTTTAAGGCACTGCATCGCAGTGCTAACTGTGCCACTAGAGATCCTGGTTCGAATCCAGGCTCTGTCGCAGCCGGCTGCGACCGGGAGACTCATGGGCGGCGCACAATTGGCCCAGCGTCGTCCAGGGTAGGGGAGGGAATGGCTGGCAGGGATGTAGCTCAGTTGATAGAGCAATGGCGTTTGCAACGCCAGGGTTGTGGGTTCGATTCCCACGGGGGGCCAGTATAAAATTAAAAATTGTATTCACTAACTGTAAGTCGCTCTGGATAAGAGCGTCTGCTAAATGACTTAAATGTAAATGTAAATGTACTCGTCGTCTTCGCCAGAGTCTTGATGTCAACGTTGTGAACAGAGTGCCCCATGGTGACAGTGGGGTTATGGTATTGGCAGGCATAAGCTACGGACAATGAACACAATTGCATTTTATCGATGGCATATTGAATGCACAGAGATACCGTGACGAGATCCTGAGGCCCATTGTCATGCCATTCATCCGCTACCATCACCTCATGTTTCAGCATGATGATGCACGGCCGCATGTCGCAAGGATCTGTACACAATTCCTGGATGCTGTAAATGTCCCAGTTCTTCCATGGCTTGCATACTCACCCATTGAGCATGTTTGGGATGCTCTGGATCGACATGTACACCAGCGTGTTCCAGTTCCCGCCAATATCCAGCAACTTCGCACAGACATTGAAGAGGAGAGGGACAACTTTCTACAGGCCACAATCAACAGCCTGATGAACTCTATGCGAAGGAGATGTGTCGTGCCGCATGAGGCAAATGGTGGTCACACCAGATACTGACTGCTTTTCTGATCCACTTCCCTACGTTTTTTTATTTTTTATTAAAAAAGGTGCATATCTGTATTCCCAGTCATATGAAATCCATAGAGGTGGGCCTAATTTATTTACTTCAATTGACTGATTTCCTTATGAACTGTAACTTAGTAACATATTTGTAATATTTGCATGTTGCGTTTATTTTTGTTCAGTGTAGTTGCGGAGAAGGAATTATATATACACAGTGAGCAAAGTGATCATGCAGTTTTTATGTGGCTGCTATAAAAGTGAACTGTGTTTGCGTGTGATCAGGGGTGTATTCATTCCGCCGATTCTGTTGAAAAAAGTTTATTAAAAAACGGAAGCAAACGGAAAGCGGATAGAAATACCTGAATTTGTATAATATAAACTCACATTTGCAACTGTTGGACTAATGATTACACCCTAGATCAGCTAGATGCAGGCAAGAGTGTGCAAGGCGGTACCGAATGTGTCACTGTCAACTTGATTATTCAAAATTCTCTTGATCTGTGCACCTACATTGTAAACTTTCAATCATAAGCTAGGTTGTAGCAACCTCATGATGGGTAACACAAAGCTAACACAATATCATGTAGTAGCCTAAACCTATCGATGTTACATAGACTTGGGTGAATGGAATATGAATGACAGTCATCCAATATGCTGTAATAGAAATAAGGCCATGCTCATAAAAAAAAAAAAAATCATCCTCCCTCATCTTAAACAGCATGGACCACCACTGATATGGACATGTCCCAAATTGAAGCAGTGGTTAAGCCGCTGAACTCGTTTAGTCTCTGTGGTTCAAAAGGTCAAACTACTTCTGGGACACTAAAACAGTTTATGTAGATCAGACCTTCTAAGAACAACTAGCAACTCCATGAAAAAGTGTCTGAGATATTATGCAAATTGTTAACAGTGCCATTAGCCTTGGATAAAGGCAGGCCTCTGCTAGACAAATCTGTGGCATACATGTCCATGTCTACGAAGCTTTTAAGTGAGTAGGTGAATGACCATGACGGAGCCCATGGTGACTACAGAAGATCTAGTGGGTTACTTCTTCTCAATGCTTAAAGTGGGTGTATGAAGAGTGGATGTACGATGAGTGGGTGTATGATGAATGTGCAGCAACACCAGGGGGAAGTCCCCGACAGACTTGTACCCACCAGAGGACTGCTGTGGAAACACGGATGCACCATGACCAGAATCTCTAAATGAGAGATGGTTTACTTTAGTGTGGAGGTCTAGTACTAGCTACTGATGACTAATGCTGCAGATCTCGCTCTCCCTCTCTGAAAATGTGCATTTTGACTAATAGCACATTTTACAATATGCTAATCTCCAATCAAAATACTGCTACAGTCGAGGGCTGTGGGTGAAAGGAGACTGGACATTGCCTAAAGAGGTTTATACCAAACCAATACATTCAAAGTCATTAAATAAGTCACCTGAGTTAGGAGGAGTGACCATTGCCTCCGGTGGTGTGATGGAAACTATATTCAGAGTCAGAGAGACAAGAGGAAAAAGCTGAGAGATTCTGATCTGGAGCCACAGCAGTTTCCATGATTAAATCAGATTTGACTTAATCAAAGGTGGTGGAGGCTACCGTAATACCCTATTTTTCTCCACTGACTCAAACTCGGCTGTATTCTGGGGGAGGATGGTAATCAAAGGCATTACAGTCAGCCTTGCTCTAATTTGTGAAAGTGGTGGTGCAATTCACACAACCCCTGACTCTCTTTCTGACAGATGGGAATCTGAACCGCTAACCTTCCATCTGCTCTGGAGGACACATGATGAGAACAAACTGATCTGACTCACTAATCTCAGGATTTCAGAGCAAGAGGTCTACAGAGAATAACCAGAGAGTTGACTTCAATGGTTAAACAGACCAAAAATTAAGTTTGAGGGGTGGTGTTAGATACCCACTTGGCATGTCATCGCCCCTAGCTTCCCCCTGTGGGGTACCTGTCCTTCAGGGGTGATCTTTGGGAGAGCGGGAGCTAGGGTTGGGCGTTATCCAGATTTTCATATTCTCATACGGTCCTCCTCTCACACCGGGATTTACGGTATTACCGGCTTAGTACACAAGGGGTCGCCAAAAACGCACAAAAAAGCCCATTGGGCGTCTATTATCAGAATGCTAACAAAATTAGCACAAGTAATGGTGAATTCCCATGGAGGTTGCTAGCTAAATATGCTAATGAGCGCTATAAAAACACAATCAGCTTATAAAGTGAGTCGCTAGGGCAATAGGCCTACCTGCTCTGCTCGGACAAGATAGGGGAGAAGCAGAGGCCCAGAACGGAGAGGAGAAAAAACGCAAGGAAATCAAGCTGCAGTGGCAGCTTTACAGATAACTCATCCAAGTGGCTTTGAATTCTCAAACAAGGCAGAAGGCTAACACAATATGATGCCTCGTGACCTTATTAATTCAGCCACTTACTTAGATAACTAGCAAGTTAAACTTAGGGGTCACCCCTAACGCAGAATTCGTCATTTTTCATGTAGAAAATACAAATACATATCTTGCTACTTTTTTCAAAATGTGTTGCACTAATGTAAAATAATGTGACTGGTGAAATGAACGTGATCTGCTTCATCTCCTAACGTATTGCACAAGTTCATTGCAGGTATTTACTTAAAAAGTAGCTATAAATATAGAAATACATTTTTTTTTTTTTATAGTTTCAACGGTATTGGAAAAACCATCCCGTGTCTATATCCAAATACCCTGGTATATGGTATATACGGTATACCGCCCAAGCCTAGCGGTGCCCCTGGAGGATGAGCTTAACAAATAGAGAGGAGTCCAGAGAGCTCAGACACCCACCGCAACTCAGCATTTCTACTCCACAAAAAGCTGACTACTTTGCACTTCCTCTCGAAAAATCAACACAGACTGATTGATGGAATCTATACCACTGGTCAGGAGAGGAGAGCGGAGAAGAGGAGGAGAAAAGGGAGGAGAGGAGAAGAGATTAGTTAAAAATGAGGGATGCAAAACAGTTCTGATGCAGCAAGCATATTCTGTTTTACCCTCAACTGTCTTTAAAATGACTTGATCCATAATATTTGGCACAACATGTACTGTGGCTGCAGGCTATAGTTCCTGACAAACTACAACGCAGCTTCCACAATACCAGCTCATTAAATCGAATTAAATGTACACAACATAGTGAACCAACTATCAAATATGAGAATAGAGGACAACAGGGAGCATTTAGGCCTCCCTTCACCAAGCCATACTGGAACAGAAAGTGAGGTACTCCTACCTCTAGAGCCAGGGCAGTCTTGTCATATGCACAGGGCACTCGTTTCTGGATGGCCTTAGCCATGACTGGCCCATTCTGCATGGAGGGTAGGGGGGTGATGACCGCTCCAGGGGTGCCAGGAGGCAGGGGCGATGGGGTCTGAGGCTGGGCGTAAGCGTGGGCCGGCTCGGGGATGCCATAGCTGTTGGAGTTGCGGGAGCTGTGAGGGGGCTGGCCAGGGTGAGGGGAGGGTCGCACCAGCTTCTCCACATAGGGCACAGGGATCATGCCCACGCGGCCCTCCTTGCTCTTGGCGCTCCACCACTGCTCCTCAGGTTTCTCCAGGATGATCAGGATCTCCCCCTTCTTGAAGGGCAGGTCCTCAGTGTCGCTGCCCGTGAAGTCGTACAGAGTTCGCACATACTCCAGGTTGTCCTCTGGGCCCCCCATCGTCTGAATGGGGCCAGTGCCTATCGCTGTGTTAGGGTACCTGGGCAGGAAGAGGGCAGGAGGAGGGTGATCATAAAACACAGATTAACATGTTGATTTTCAAAAGACTGTTTCAAGACAATATGAACAAGTTTTAGTGCTGAACTACTGAAACCATCAGCTGAGTTGATGGAAATATATACATTCCTCTCCCAAAATAGCAGTCACTACTGTTTTTAAAGTGTCACACCCCCTTTGTGAACATACCACTAGACAAAGTTCAAATGGTTATGCAGCAACAATAACTAAAACTGGCTGAAGCACTGGAAGGCTTACCTGGTTAAATAAAGGTTAAATAAATAAAATAAATAAAGGAACTATGCAATTCCTTGTTACACTTGTCATTACATGAGAGGTCAAACAGGTCACTTACTCATTAAGTATAAGCCTGGTAGCCTATAGTTTATGATTGAAATGGGGTACAACCATCAGAATCGGTTTCTAATAGGTCAATCACATATCAGGAAATGTGTCAAATAATTGGAATTCTAAATATCTTGCAAACCTAAGTCCTAATTGCTTTTAACTGCATTGCTTTGAGTGGTATGTGGTCGCAGGTTCAGCCTATGACAGTTCCTTACCTGGGGGCAGGTTCTATCAGTGTAGTCGTATCCAGGTAGTGGATTTTGTAGAACTCCAAAAGAGCTGGGAGGTGCTCGAATTCTTGGTCACCGATCTTGAACCTCTTGCTTGGCAAGGAGTTGATGATATAGTGAGACACTTTGGAGTTTTCTGATACTGACAGCACATAGTCGCCAGGACAGGTCGAGGAATCCCGAACCAAAAACATGCCATGCCTCTGTCCTTGTAATCTATTCTGCGCCTCCTGTCTCGACACCGGCCCGAAATACCAACTAGACCGGTCCGATGAATCGAACCGTGCAGATGACATATTTGATAAAAATTAAATTAACAACTCAAAAAACAAATATATTAGTTTAAATAATAAATACAAATACACTAGTTAACTGAATAAGCTAAATAGATAACGACGCGAAACCGATTTTTACAACATAATTTTTAAGATCCAGGGCAGGGCAGGGGAAGCCGTCGTCCTATGCTCGTCTTGAATCGACTTCTAGCCGAAGGCTGCAAGTTTCAGCTAGCTACATCCAATAGAAACGTTACCTTGACGTTTCAGAGACAGGCTGCGACTAGCTTGAGCCAACTTTGAAGCATAATGTTTCTTCGTTTATTGCCAATGACAAATGCCAGTTCTCGATGTCAAACTACGAGAAGTTACCCACATTTAGAATGTCTGGCTGCAACAATGATCAATCAAGGTTCCCCTTTTCGTTCCCTCTTCCGAAAAAAGTAACAACGTATCTATCTCATGAAACAATAAATCTCCAGTCACTGTCTAAATGACAACGGAAAAGGTCGCTTCACTAATTGATTAAACGAATCTCCATGTCGAAACAATGTTGCAAATAGCTGCGCGCTGGAGCCTAAATTGTAAATTTGTATCTTCTTGGTCGAACTTGGGCACGATTCGGAGAAATATATTTTTAAAATCCTTTTCTGGAGTCCCGACAGACTTTTGAGGCAGTAACAAAAATGGCTGCCTGCAACACGTCTTCACACAAAATTAATTCACAAAAGAGTGACTCTGCTCCAATTCATGCATTTATAGTTTTAAAAAATCGAGTTTGATGCGTATATTTGTATCCTCTGGAAAATTGAATAATAAGGTCTCTCTATAATTTGTGTTTCCCTTGTTTATACTCGGCTCCACTCCTCCAGCCTGATGGAGTCCGAGACCGAAAAATGGCGGCTAGAGGGCGGGTCTGCGCGCTCCCAGTTTATCGAGTTCCACTAGATATCACAGCCACAAAGTCAACATGGGCTATTACAATTTTTTAATGAAAACAAACATTTGCTTTTTGGTCTTTAAGGTTAGGGTTAGCAGTGTGGTTAGGGTTAAGGTTAGGTTTAAAATCATATGTTAAGAAGATAAATTGTAGAAATAGGCGGGGTGTATATGACTGTGGCTGGGGTAACTAGTGCCGACCCAGTCTATATGCACGTCACTGACGCCTCGAGCGAGTGCTACCAGAGAGGAAGAGGAAGAGAGAGGCCCAACTCGGCTGAAAATCTTTCTTCCTCCAGCAGGTGGCGTTTTTTCGTTTCGCTCACCAAGCAAGGAGTTTTGTATGGAGGTCAATAGCGGTTTCCATCCATGACGACAGATTTTCATGCGAATTTTCTAAAATCCACATAAAAATGAGCATTTTCCCATCAGAGATGTGTATGCGCGTGATGACGTCACCCACATAAAAATATACCTTTTCCCAAATTCTAAATATAAAAAAATACAAGTCAAATGGAATTCCATCGGAATTGTTGCATTATATAGCGTGTGCCACCTCCGGTATTGGTAGTTGCGTTCTTGCCAACATTGCATGTATAGCCTACATGATGAGGTTATTATGGACAAAAGAGAGATTATTTTGTGAAAAGGCAGCCAAGCATCGATGATCATGTCACCAGAATAAGACCCTCGATATTTATTGGAAAGGAGCATCGAGCTCATCACCTTGCACCTTCACCACCTTGTGAAGTTCATCGTCATTTATTTCATATGTATCCTAATAAACTGCATGCTTTCCTGATGAGTCGTTTTGGGAAGACCACGCAACATGTCATCACGTGACTCCAAAGCGTTCCACCGACATTTCTCGCATAATTAATTTGACAGACAAAATGATCCCACCTTGTCTAGTTTATTTTGTTTTGTTAACATTTGGAAAGTTTGTGGAATTTGTTTTTATCCGACATGTACTTTACTCGCATAAAAAGGCTGGATGGAAACCTGGTTAATCAACAAAAACAATTATGGTTTATTTGCCATGTGAGGTTTTTATTTGATCAAATATATGTTTCATAATGTTTAAGTTGTTATGAGTGTACTGATATAAGTAGGACACGTTACATCCAGGTAACTTTGATTTAAAAAAAAAAAAACTTTATAAAGGATAGGCGGGAGCTAGGCAGCCTGCCGTGACGCTTTGTGGAAAATAACTCTCATTGTTAGGGCGGAGAGACATGTATTGTGTCAGTATATCCATCATCTTTGGTGCTGCTTAGTGATGTGAAGTTCGGCTCTTTTTACTTACTCTGATCTTTTCGAATCGTTAAACTCGAAAGAGTCATGATTCTACAAGCCATTCTCGTTCACCATAGAGTGCTTATTGGAGCTGTCATTTGTGAAAGACTTGTAAACCGTGTGTCGTGTGCTTTAAACAATGTAAAAAAAAAAAAAAAAAGGTTTATTGCTAGGCATACACATAAGATTATTTATTGATAGGTCTATTTGAAACGAGGTCTAGTTGTGGCCGATATATTTCCCTGCGCGCATATGACACACAGTTGGTGGTCGGAGCACTTCTCTGGAGCCGCTGAGCGTGTATTAAACATTCTGTAGGCCTAGGACTCATTGCGGCCAGCACTAGCAGGTCAAACGAACGACTAACATGAACGTGTCAGAAAAATGTATCATGACTCTCGAGTCAGTAAAAAGAGTCGTTCAAAAAGAACGAATCGTTCGCGAACTGCACATCACTAGCACTGCTGCTCAAGCACGGCCAACAACAGTACGCTAGCTACACATTTAAAAAAAAGCAACTAGTGACAAATCTTGCGACTTTTTCTGGTGTTATTGGAGACTCTGATGTTAAAGCACATATCATTCTTACTCTTCTCAACGACCACGGTTCCAAAGCACTCACAGGCGGCCCAGTCCTCCCGCAGCTTTTTACTCACTTTTTGTCTCTCCCACGACATTATTCCTCTCTCCTACAGCGTCCATCACAATTACATGCCCATAGCCAATTATGCAAATTATGTGATGACGTCATTTAGCCACTTTTAGGACAGCCAATAGCTACTTTCCTTACTGAGGAGTGCACCCAAATGGAGTTGTTGCAGATAAACATCAGTGCGGGGATGAGGTAATGTACACAAAATGTAGACTACTTTTTGCTTAAGTTTTCATGTAGGTCTACTGAATAAAAATCTAAAGTTGAATATGATTCCATTGCTTTTTCAACTCCGATATGCACTACACTGCATGGTTTCTCTAGTCATAGTGGGACCACACACCATATAATTGCGTGACTCCGCCATTTCTGGCATAATTAATTTGACTGACACAAAAAGATAGCACCATGTCGAGAAATAAATGATGTAGGCATTTAAAGAATTGTACCGAAACATCCTGTTTCCATCACAGCTGTCATTATTTTTTTTTATATGGTATGACTTCACTGGCATAAAATCTCATAATAATCTCATCATTTAGACTAGCCTACCAGCACAGCCTACCCGCACTGTACCTGTGAGCAGTTGGCTAGAGCACACATGCCAAGACCAGAGTAGGCACATTTGCTATTTAACTCAAAAAATGTTGTTATAAAACTATCGCTAGAGTAGAAAATGCGATGTAAACATATTGAACTTCCGATTTTTTATTTGGTACATGAAAACTTAAGCGAACATTTTGTATGTTTGGTGTGCACTACTTCATCACGCACTGATTTGTATCTGCAACAAGTCCATTTGTTTACTTAAAATGTGCATATTTTCTTTATGCGGATTCTAGATTGGATGGAAATGTAGCTAGTAACCACGTTTCCATCCACAGTTTTGGTTAATGTGAATAAAGTAATATCATATTTAAAAAAAAACGAACAGGACAGCTGTGATGGAAACAGGACATTTTATAAATGCAGACATAATTTCTTCGACAGTGCAATCTTTTTGTGTCTGTAAAATTATTTATGCAAGAAATGGCAGTGGAAATGACTTTATGCATATTTATATAATAACCATGATATCTAAGTAAACTTGGAGTCACGCTATGACATGGTGTGTGCTCCTCCCAATATGATTTGGGAAACCATGCAGTTTATTAGGCTACAGATGAAATAAATTATGCTGAATTTACACGGTTATGCTGAACTCAGCTACCCACACTGTATCTGCAAGCTGTTGGCTAGAGCGCATGTGCCAAAACCAGATTTGGCAAATGTAGCCTACTATTTAACGCAACAGTTTTTTTGTGACAAACCTATTGTTAAAGTTGAAAATATGATGGAAACACATTGAACATCAGATTTTTATTCGGTACATGAAAATTTTACCCGCAAAAGTACATTTTATTTGCCTTACGTCATCACACACACAGTTTTATCTGCAACAACTCAGTTTTGTGGAAACACCACTGGTGGGTAAATGCGCATATTTTCTTTATGCGGATATTAGAAAATGTGCATGAAAATCTGTCGACAATTGGATGGAAACCTAGCTAGTGATGGTAAAAAAATCGCATTGTGGGTTTCTGAAAAAAATTATATCACTACAGATGCCTATCTGAAATGACACAATGTATTGGATAATTAGTAGGCTTATCCCTCTAAGTGCCTGAAAAACCCCACTGATGATGAGTGGAGGTAAAAACAGGTTCTTAGCCTACCTACACCCAATCATGTTGACCACATAGGAGGACATCATTATGTCCAAATCATAGGAGGACCTTGATGGTTAACCTTTAAACAAATGTATAGTTTTTAAATGGGCTGTGATTCAGAAGGCAATTTGTGCTTCAAGTATAGGGTCCTGCTAGATGATTAGCCTAGTGTACGCTATTCAGTCTACACATAATTCAAGAATAGATGTCCCCACCAGCATATTTCCCTATTTTCAATTCCTGTCGATCCTCAACTTCCCCTCCATTCAAGCTCCTCTGAAGTGTCATCTGGCATAGAACCGTGACACATCAACTTGGGCCTCCCCACACTCAGCCTTCTATTCTGAAAGGGACAAGATGCATTTGAATGCAGGAAACATTGCCACCCAAAATCCTGCCATAAACCATAATGAAAATGAATACATGCATGGCATTAGGACTAGCATTAGCATGAGAGGTTGTTTTGTAGATGTTGTGAGGCAACCATAACATTTGGCCACATTCAGTTTCTATCTTGCTCTCTTGGTTTGGAAATAGAAGAGTTTTCAGAGTACATACCTCTTGAGACTGCAGCTGGCACAGAGTTGGTCTCATCACTGCAACACAGTCTGAATGTTAATAGATTTGCACCCACTGATTCTTAAAGGCTAACGCCTGCCAATTCCTGCAAAGGCTCACTGGTTCAACAAATTGGATGAAAACAAATAGGAGTTTTTTTTATGTGAATGTATAATATCTGCTGATTCCACAAATAGGCTACTTCACTGACCAAGGGGGAAATTAAATACCATATAGAAGGATTTACAGAATTTCTGTGAACCTACTGATTTATCTATAATTTCTGCATTATGGTTCCCCAAAAATGCCTTCTAAGTAATTTGTTTCATTTTCACTTGATTAACTTACAAACATGACTACAGAAGGGGTACGTGATGTTGGTGATGGGCAGAGCCTTCTATTGCAATAAAGGTCTTTGGTGATGGGGAATAAATGGGTCAGAATTACTCAAATTACGACTCCCACAGGAAGCAACACAAAGTAGGTTGTTAGGTTCAAGTGGGGGGAAAAAAACATACAAATGCCTCATCCAGGCATGACAGAAAATTCGGTAAAATCAATAAAAACACACAAAAAACAACAACTAATATGGCAGTGTTGGAAAGAAGGACAAAGATGGATAAACTGTAGGCCTATGCACATCAAAGTAAGACCGGTTTCTTTGTCCATTTAAAATACACTTCCCCTTTCAAATAAAAAATCACCCATTAAATACACTGTAATTTATATAAAAAATGTATGCATTAAGGCTATTTGGGTGATGCAATCTGTGTTTGTGTGACTGCTGGATTTCAGGACACTTTCTGGTTTCCTCGATTTCAACACCCTCTAGTGGGCAATGGAAACTAGTGGCGAGGTCACAGGATCCTGAAATAGATTCTGAATAGACTGAGGTCCCAGGAAGAGAGACTGAGTTAACATGGGTGAACATAATTAAATCATATACCACATTAACAAAACTATAGCTCCCATTACAGAATATTCCAATTACATGGCGATGCTTTGAAGCTGGTACTGCTGCTATCCCTGGAAAAAAAAAAATATATATATATATTTTAAAAAAAAATCACCTCACTACATGTAAAACAATGCACGTCTAATTCCTCGTCTCACAGTTACATTGTACATCCTTGCAGTTCAAACGCACAGCCCCATGCAGACGCCTCACTTCATGTTGCAAAACAACTTAGACTAGAAAGCTTTGTAGACCCATGAAATTCATAGGCCTACTCCTAAAATTCCACCCCCATTGAAATGATTAGTTTCCAGTCAAATATTAGCTTATCACATTAATCACTACTAAAATCAATCTAATCATTGTTGCAGATGTAGCAGCTCTTGAATGGATGGAAAATTTAAACCGGAAGTACGTTAATTTTTTCTGTTTATGCTTTTTGGTGCTGCATTCATTCAAAGCGTACATTTGCCGCTAGTCTGAAAACGATGTCTGCAATGGAGGTCCCAGGACCAGAAAGCGATTGGAGAAGCCCTGCATTCCGACAGAAAGTTGTTGCACAAATGTGAGACAATTTAGTTTTATTAAAACTGTTTGTAAACGTTGCGATATTTTAGTTACTCCGCTATTATCACGACAGTGGCTAGCTCACTACAGTTAGCCAGCTATTTTAGCTTATCGTTAGCTACGGAACATGCTTGAAATGAGGCCGTAAGCAATACATCATCGGGGTTGATACAGTTAGCTGCATGTTTTCTTATTTGACCATAAAAATGCTTGCCTTTTTTCTAGAAGTTTTGAGACTAACTAATTGGGCGTTCAGCTAAAGGTTAGCCAAACTAGCTGGCTAGCCAGCTAGCCTTTGCTATCGTTACTTCGCTTGCTATGTAACTAGCTAGGTAATGTTAGCTGGCTAGTTAGCAAGATGCTATGTACAGTCATTACAGACCCGGTGACATTCCTGCTTGGCCTCACTTAGAGTAAAATGCACTTCATCTGCCAGTAATATGATGTCACTGGAATGTGTGGTAGCAAAATACAGCAGGCAAAAATATATAATATCACAACATTCGTTTGATCTGAATCACTTTCTCTTTTTTAGTGAAGAGGCGATGAGAAAGGCTGGGACTGCACACACGAAGTCCAGCAATGAAATGGAGAACCATGTTTACGTCAAAGCCAAATCTAGAGTGAGTGAACATTTTTAATTTACACACACCCAGTAACCTCATCATGGATCATCAGACAACACTCAGGAACATTGTATATGAGTAACTGGAATTATTGGTGAAGAATGACCATCTCTCATCTACACTGAACAAAAATATAAACGCAACATGCAACAATTTCAAAGATTTTACTGAGTTACAGTCCATATAAGGAAATCAGTCAATTGAAATAAATCCATTAGACCATAATCTATGGATTTCACATGGCTGGGAATACAGATATGCATCTGTTGGTCACAGATGCATAAAAAAAAGTAGGGGCGTGGATCAGAACCAGTATCTGGTGTGACAACCATTTGCCTCATGCAGCGCGACACATCTCCTTTGCATAGAATTGATCAAGCTGTTGATTGTGGCCTGTGGAATGTTGTCCCACTTCTCTTCAATGGCTGTGCGAGGTTGCTGGATATTGGCGGGAACTGGAGCACACTTTTGTACATGGTGATCCAGAGCATCCCAAACATGCTCAATGGGTGATATGTCTGGTGAGTATGCAAGCCATGAAGAACTGGGACATTTTCAGCATCTAGGAATTGTGTACAGATCCTTGCGACATGGGTCCGTGCATTATCATGCTGAAACATGAGGTGATGGCGGCGGATGAATGGCACAACAATGTGCCTCAGGATCTCGTCACGGTATGTCTGTGCATTCAAATTGCCATTAATAAAATGCAATTGTGTTCGTTGTCCTTCGTTTATGCCTGCCCATACCATAACCCCACCGCCACCATGGGGCACTCTGTTCACAACGTTGACATCAGCAAACTGCTCGCCCACACGACACCATACACACTACACTGTCTGCCATCTACCCGGTACAGTTGAAACCGGGATTCATCCGTGAAGAGCACACTTTTCTAGCGTGCCAGTGACCATCGAAGGTGAGCATTGGCCCACTGAAGTCGGTTACGATGCTGAACTGCAGTCAGGTCAAGACCCTGGTGAGGACGACGAGCATGCAGATGAGCTTCCCTGAGGAGGTTTCTGACAGTTTGTGCAGAAATTCTTTGGTTGTGCAAACCCACTGCTTTATCAGCTGTCCGGATGGCTGGTCTCAGACGATCCCGCAGGTAAAGAAGCCGGATGTGGAGGTCCTGGGCTGGTGTGGTCTGTGGTTGTGAGGTCGGTTGGACGTACTGCCGAATTCTCTAAAACAACGTTGGAGGCGGCTTATGGTAGAGAAATGAACATTAAATTATCTGACAACAGCTCCGGTGGACATCCCTGCAGTCAGCATGCCAATTGCACGCTCCCTCAACACTTGAGACATCTGTGGCATTGTGTTGTGACAACTGCACATTTTAGTAGTCTTTTATTGTCCCCAGCACAAGGTGCACCTGTGTAATGATCATGCTGTATAATCAGCTTCATGATATGCCACACCTGTCAGGTGGATGGATTATTTTGGCAAAGGAGAAATGCTCACTAACAGGGATGTAAACAAATTTGTGCACAAAGTATGCGAGAAATAAGCTTCTTGTGCATTTGGAACATTTTTGGGATCTTTTATTTCAGCTCATGAAACATGGGACCAACTCTTTACATGTTGCATTTCTATTTTTGTTCAGTATAATAATGGTGTTATTGTTTACTTCTGAACAGGAAGAATACTTGTCCCTGGTAGCAAGGTTGATCATTCACTTCAGAGACATTCGTAAGTACCCCACATCTGCAATGTAGGTCTAACTCTTGTTCATATTTTTCAAGACAACTATTCTGTAAAGTCGAGTTACGTAATGGTATATGTTTTGTTTTGCAGATAAAAAGGCACAAGGAGGTCTGGGTGAGTTGTGTTGTGATTTTGCAAAATATGTTTTCTATTACTAAAAGACATTCAGAAGAATATATATGTAGCTACTCATGCTGCTGCCCATGTGTCAATGTATATATTGTCTCCCCTCTTCCAGATCCCATGAATGCCCTGACAAATCTCACTGGTGTTCCAGGGGTTCCAGGGGGCATTGTCATGGGGCCTAGGCCACCTGGTGCGCCCATGGGTGGCATGGGGACCATGGGGCAGATGCAAATGGGTCAGCATGCAATGGCAGGTGTGGCTGGAAATCCTCAAGCGAGTGAGTGTATTTCTGAAGCTATTTAACTTTCTCACTTTATTCATGTTTATTTGAATGCTGCTGTCTGTTAGCCCACAGAAACAATTGGATCAGTAGCCTACTGGTCATGACATTTAGATTTTCGATCAGGGACCTCCAAACTAATATTCCTGTGTCCTCCATGAGGCTCAGAGCATGTGAGCAGAGATGAGTGGGAGCAGAGTGAGGAGCGGAGCGGGCACAATTTGACTGGAGCTGGGGAAAAGGACGTGGAGCGCTCTGTGTGCAATGAGCTGGATTTCGCACCGCTCAACTCGGCTCACAGACACTACTCCATACTCATATTTCTGTTTCCTCAGTAACGCTCAGGTGTAGGGCTTTTCCTCCAGGGCTTTCCCCAAGTTCTCAGATGGAGGATGTGTGTCTGTTTTGTCCACATCCTCCCTGTAGTAGGAGGTCCAGGGCAGATGCAGATGCAGCAGATTGCCCAGCAGCAGCAGTCCATTCAGTTCCAGCAGTTCCAGGCACAGCAGCAACAGACAGCCATGCAACAACAGCAACAGACGGCCATGCAGCAGCAGCAGCAGCAGCAGCAGCAGACAGCAATGCAACAACAGACAGCCATACAGCAGCAGCAGTTTCAGGTCCAGCAGCAGCTGAAGCTGCAACAGTTACAGCAGCAACACCATCAGAACCAACAGCTCCAACAGCAGCACCAAAACCAGCAGCAGCAGCAGGCCCAAAACCAGCAACAACAGAACCAGGTATAACAGGGATGCAATACTTGTCAATTTCCGGCGATATTCGCCGTTTGGATCTCAGAATAGGTAATCCACGTGAATTGTGTAGATCTGTAAAAAATACTTTGGGGTGGGGGTCTGATGAAAAGTCGGCAGACGCAGAGTGTATCACCCATTGAGCTATACAAAAGAGCCGCAAACAGATCTTCTCCCTGTGATCACTACCTTCTCTCTCTCGAAATGAATGACTGAGCACAGAATGCATCCTTACACATCCTACAAATAGAATATCAGAGTTCAGAGCGTGATGTCAGATATGTCATGTCAGAATGAGTGCTTCATCTAATATCACGTGACAGCCGTGGGCAGCCAACCACATCCCCTAACAAGCCATTAGCCTACTCAGCTGCTTCTCTCTGTCCGTTCTTTCTGTGCATCTTCATCAGTTTTTAAATGTTATTTAGCCGTGATGGTGAGCTGGGGTGTGCAGACATTATTGGAGCGGCATGCAGCGCAAGTGAAGTGGATACGCATCTTTTCATTTCGCCTCTTAGTGCCAGGGCCATAGAGGAAAAAACGGAGCATGAGTTTGTAGCCCAAACCACTCATATTACTGGAGCTACCTTCTCCCCTTTCTACCGCGAATTGGCACACATTTTATATAATTTTATAAACCATGTCGCGGGCCGATTTAAACTACTCATGTGCCGCACGTTTTTGGATGGATAACAAGTTATCGGTGGGGGCAAACCCTGTAGGATCATGATACTACTCGGTATGGTGATACTCGGCCTGGTATGACATCTTTAGTAAAATGTTGGTATTGTGACAATTATTTTCACCTTTGGGCCCTCACCAGTTTGCGTCCCTGTATAAGCTCAAAAGCCCCACCATGATAGCATGCCTAGATGTATATTAAAAGCTAACAGAGACATACAGAAGGCAGTTAAATTGGTTGATCTTTTAATAATCTGTATCTTTAAGTATTTACACGCCCTCCCCATCTCTCTCTTCAGATGCACCCATCAAGGCTCCAGCAACAACAGCAGATAGTTCAGTTACAACTCCAACAGCAGCATGCACAGGCCCAAGCACAGGCCCAAGCACAAGCCCAGGCGCAGGCCCAAGCACAAGCCCAGGCGCAGTCCATCCAGCACATGGTCCAGCAGCAGCAGCAACAACAACAGCAACAGGTTCAGGCCCAGTCTCAGCCCCAGGCGGCCCAGCTACCCCCCCACTCCCAGCAGCAGCAGGGCATGGTGCCCCAGTCTCTGGCTGGGCAGATGACCCCCACACAGCACGTGCCCATCAGCTCGCTCAGTCAGCAGCAGCAACAGCTCAAGATCCAAGCCTTGCAGGTAAAGCAGAGGTGGTGTTATGGAAAAATATGAACCTTAAGTTTAGTTCACCCTCTGTAGAATAGTGGTGACCTTTTGTTGTCCACTCTAAATTCATAATCTATAGTCTCTGGGATAACACACCTATTCCAGTATCTTTTTTTACACACCCCTCTGCTTGCTTTCTTCCCTATGTGTGTGTATGTGCTGTGTGTTCTTTGTGTGTGTGGCCAGGCTAGAGCGATGCAACAGCAGCAGCAGCAGCAGCAGGCAGCGCAGCAAGCCCAACAGGCTGCGGCTCAGGCCCAGCTAGCTGCAGCAGTACCTGGACAGGTAAGAGCACAGCACTGCAAGTTGGTGTGTAGTGGGACTGATTGACTGACTGGGGACTGCCACTTGTCACTGAGCCTGGCCTGGTGTGAGTGCATGCTTTCAGATTTACCCCTTTGGAATTTCAACAGTTGATTTAATTTTGTGTCGCAAGCTCTTCTGTTGATGTCAAATGACTTGAGGAAGACGAAGGATATTTTTCTGTGCTGCCTGTTGCCATACTTAAGCTACTGCCATAGCCAGGAGGTAATAGTTCTTGTTTTATAGCTCCACATTACCTACAGAGAGTTACGTTTGCATCTATTCTTATAATTGCAACATTGCTGCTTGATGGCTCAGGGGTTCTTTGGTTTGAACTGAATGATGAGTCTCCTACGTAACCCAGGAAATCAATTTAGTTTGTTGTCATTTGCATATGATGCTTTCTGAGAATTCCCTGATAGGCTTGGTACTCCTCCTGTCTCTATCGCTTCCAATCAAAATAGGGATGGAGCTAGGATTCACTTCCACAAGCCACTTCCCCCATCCCTTTCTTCTCTACCAAACTAGAACTCACCCAGACCTCTTCACCCCACCGCTACTTCTCCCTATTGCAAATCCCTGGAAGTGTGCAGCTGCGTTTCTCAGAATGAAACCCACGGGTGGGCTGCTGAGATAAAATAAAGTTTATCTACCAGAGGATGTCTCTTTATTGTACCTCAGAGCTACGTTAGAATGTCTTGTTCCTGCTCCATGCATGTGTGTTGTTCATGCAGTGAATGCTGCAACTGCATGCCTACTCTGCCCTGCAAACCAATCATATTATTTAACTCGGCTGCTGCATCTACCAGCTCTACTGTTACTGTAGATGCAAATACATGGCATCATCAATCATTGAAGTGCCCCCCCACTCACTCATCCAATTGACCAATAGATACGGTTTGGGAAATCACTGCCAAGCCTCCTACTGGGGGTACCAATGGGGTTCCATCATTGGCGGCTATTCAAAATGCAATACCTATCTATGCAACCGTCGTTTGATAAAACAATTTAAATAGTTTCCAGACTAGAAACAATGTCTAAAAAATTAATAATAATCTAAATGGGTATTTTGAGATTAATATTAATAGCTTTAATGTTGAATAAATTAATGTTGAATAATTTTGTAACCAAATATTGTGATCTATGTTATTTCTAGTCAGTTGACAATATTTACCTATTGTACTTAGCTAAGCCATTTAAATAACTGTCATACCACTGCGTGGTTTGGCCTTGTGATTAAAGAGGAGAGGGAGCATGTTCATCACTGTTGTCATGGCAACCATTTGTTCTGTGCCCTCTGACCCCGGAGACAGGGTCACACGCTTGGCAACGCTGTCTCTCTCACCAGGGTTTTAAGATATGACTGTAACTGTGGGTCTGTTTGATGTGCATGCATGTGTTTGTGCATGTCTGCTTGTGTAATGTACCTTACAAGTCTTGCTCCTGGGAGAGTGCATTCATATGTCTGAATGCATTTTATGTGCGTGCATGTGCATCTCCGCTGATGCATTGCATTTCTTGTTTTGCTTGTGACATGTATGTTGTCCCCTCTGTCCTCCAAGATGATGATGCCCCGCCCTGGGATGCAAATTCCACCCCGGTTGCCCCGCGCTGCCCCGAACCCTGCCATACCTCCAAACTCTGCTGCCATGGGAGGACAGCAAATGCCACAGGTATTTACGCCAGGGTAGAGCGAGCAGGCGGTGTTCCTACTCTGACCCTGACCCGACCCTCATGGTGACACCACCTCACCTAAAACCGTGTCCCTCTGGTGTGCTTCCTTATGCCAACCCTCATCCCTCAGTGCAGCCCTCAAATCTGCTCCCCATTCTACCCAAACCTCCTCTTCTGCTCCTTATACAGACCAGTGGAATTGATAGTAAACATCAGTTCTCATGCTCAGTATAGAGTTGTATGTGGATTCACGGAAAGAGAGTTGGACCTTCTACAAGCAGGTTCCCATTTGGAATCCATTAAGGGTAGGCCTATAGATGTGATTGGAAATGCAATGGATTATTTTGCTCAGTGTAAGGGCATCTGGCCAGTATTCATTGTGTATGGTAAGTACCAATAAGACACTAAAGTATTTTCTTCCTGTCTTCCTCAGTAGGCACTCAGGCCCTGGTCGGTGTAATGGCTGAGGATTGTGATGTCATGAAGGAGGTTTTTCCCCCCTGCTATCTAGGTTGGATGGTTCGTCTGGTGTGAGCCCCCCTCTTTTCTTTTCACCCCCTCCGTAGGTTCAGCAGCACCAGATGATGTCATCGCCCTCGCCGGTACAAGTGCAGACCCCCCAGTCCATGCCCCCCCCTCCCCAGCCACAGCCATCCCCACAGCCCCCATCCTCCCAGCCCAACTCAGTCAGGTGAGCAAAGATGACAAGCCCACTCTCACTTCATGTAGCGCTCTTATTGACTTGAATATGGCATTCTAAAGTTTTATTTCAGGTCTAGTCTTGAAATGGAATGACATTCTCTGGTGTCAACTGTGAACCTGTATTGTGTTTCTTCACAGCAGTTCTGGTCCCACACCGTCGCCAGGTAGCTTCCAGCCTAGCCCGTCCCCCCAGCCCTCGCATAGCCCAGCCACCGCACGCACCCCCCAGAACTATAGCGTCCCCTCCCCAGGACCCCTCAACACCCCAGGTACTGTCCCAGCTCCTCACTGGAGCAGAGGTCGGGGCCTAAGCCCCTATATCTCATACCTCACATCTGATTGTTTTCCTTACTATAGTTTACATTCTTAATCGGCTTTATGTAGGATTTAAATTTGTCTGGAACCTCTTAATTTTCTATTTGCATTCTATGCCAAATATTGGAAGACCAATCATGCCTTTTCCCTGTGTCCCCAAGACTATGTAAACACATATTAAATGTACATGAGGATTCTAATTGTTGTCCCATGTGGTTGTCTGGTGATGTGTAGGGAACCCCAGTTCAGTGATGAGTCCATCCGGGGCCAATCAGCTGGAGGACCAGCAGTACATGGAGAAACTCAAACAGCTCTCCAAATACATCGAGCCGCTGCGCAGGATGATCAACAAGATAGACAAAAACGAAGGTATGCCCTCACGCCATGCTCTTTCTTACTTTTCTGTCCCCTCTTGGCTGTTCCCACTCACTAAAGGAGTGTGTGTTCCCAACAGATAGGAAAAAGGACCTGAGTAAGATGAAGAGCCTGCTGAACATTCTCACTGACCCCAACACAAGGTAAAATAATAAGTGTGTTGCTTATGTGTGTCAGTGTCCATCCATGTTTTTCTCAGCAATGGTTATTGAAGGACATCTCCTCTCCCGGACTTGCAGGTGCCCTCTCAGAACCTTACAGAAGTGTGAGATAGCACTGGAGAAACTGAAGAATGATATGGCTGTGGTAAGCGTGAGACCACTTTTTAAAATCCTGTTGATTATCTTTGTGCTGTTCTATTGCTCCTTGGTTCTCAATCTCTTTCTGTTGTGAGTTCATAAATGTTACAATGTGAATCGTCAGCAATTTAACAAAACGTTTGTCTATTTGCTAATTAACTGACTTTTTGCTAAACCTGTTCTAGCCGACGCCACCCCCTCCACCTGTGCCCTGCACCAAGCAGCAGTACCTGTGCCAGCCACTCTTGGATGCCGTCATGGCAAACATCCGCTCGCCTGTCTTCAACCATTCCCTGTACCGTACCTTCGCCCCAGCCATGACAGCCATCCACGGGCCGCCCATCACGTGAGTTTACCCTAACCACTCCTTCATGTCCAGAAACACTACACTTTAGATCAGGGTAGGAAAGTTTTTTTCCCCCCTCAGCTTATTTTCGACTGGCATTTTGGAGCAACTCTGCTTCAGATCTGTCCACCACTCTGTTGTTGATACAAGACCATCTTCATTTCCTACAGTACATATAGAAAGTGTGTTAAGAGTACAGTAGCAATGGACTCACTGTCATCTGACACCCATCTTTATTCTCTCCTCCACTCCACAGGGGCCCCATCATCGCGGCCCGGAAGAGGAAACACGAGGAGGATGAACGTCAAACCATCCCCAACATCCTGCAGGGGGAGGTGGCCCGTCTTAATGCCAAGTTCCTGGTCAACCTGGACCCCTCGTTCTGCAGTAACAACGGCACTGTGCACCTCATCTGTAAACTAGGTGAGTTAAGGGCTGAGGTAGGCAACTAGATTCAGTTGCGGGCCGATTTTTGTTGGAGCAGATGGTCGGGGGGGCGATTCATAATCATTTGTACACTGCAAATTATTTTATCGAACCTTTATTTAACTAGCCAAGTCAGTTAACAACAAATTCTTATTTAAAATGACGGCCTACCGAAAGGCCTCATCTGGGGATAGGGGCTGGGATTAAAAGTATAGGACAAAACCCACATCATGGCAAGAGAGACACCACAACACTACATAAAGAGAGACCTAAGACAACAACACAGCATGGCAGCAACACATGACAACACAGCATGATACCAACACATGACAACAACACTGTAGCAACACAACATGGCAGTAGCACAAAACATGGTACAAACATTATTGGGCACAGACAACACCACAAAGTGCAAGAAGGTAGAGACAACAATGCATCACGCAAAGCAGCCACAAGTGTCAGTAAGAGTGTCCATGATTGAGTCTTTGAATGAAGAGATGGAGATAAAACTGTCCAGTTTGAGTGTTCTTTTGCAGCTCGTTCCAGTCGCTAGCTGCAGCGAACTGAAAAGAGGAGCGACACAGGGATGTGTGTGCTTTGGGGACCTTTAACAGAATGTGACTGGCAGAACGGGTTTTGTATGAGGAGGATGAGGGTTGCAGTAGGTATCTCAGATAGATAGGAAGGAGCATTGGTGGCAAATCTGATAGCCAAATGGAAAGAACATCTAGCCACTCGAGAGCACCCTTACCTGCCGATCTATAAATTAAGCCTCCGTAATCTAGCATGGGTAGGATGGTCATCTGAATCAGGGTTCGTTTGGCAGCTGGAGTGAAAGAGGAGCGATTACGATAGAGGAAACCAAGTCTAGATTTAACCTTAGCCTGCAGCTTGGATATGTGCTGAGAGAGTGTACCGTCTAACCATACTCCCAAGTACTAAACCCTCAGATGTAGTAATCACACTGGTGGGGAGAGGGAAATTCTACTTACCGAACCACATGATCTTTGTTTTGGAGGTGTTCAGAACAAGGTTAAGGGCAGAGAAAGCTTGTTGGACACTTAGACATTTTTGTTTTAGAGCGTTTAACACAAAATCTGGGGAGGGGCCAGCGGAGTATAAGACTGTAACATCTGCATATAAATGCATGAGAGAGCTTCCTACTACCTGAGCTATGTTGTTGATGTAAATTGAGAAGAGCGTTGGGCCTAGGATCGAGCCTTGGGGTACTCCCTTGGTGACAGGCAGTGGTGTGGAACGTAGGTGTTCTGACTTTATACACTGCACTCTTTGAGAGAGGTAGTTAGCAAACCAGGCCAAAGACCCCTCAGAGACACCAATACTCCTTAGCCGGCCCACAAGAATGGAATGGTCTACCGTATCAAAAGCTTTGGCCAAGTCAATAAAAATAGCAGCACAACATTGCTTAGAATCAATGGCAACGGTGACATCATATAGGACCTTTAAGGTTGCAGTGACACATCCATAACCTGAACGGAAACCAGATTGCATACCAGAGAGAATACTGTAGACATCAAGAAAGCCAGTCAGTTGATTATTTACAAGTTTTTTTCAACACTTTTGATAAACAGGGCAAAATAGAAATTGGCCTATAACAGTTAGGATCAATTTGATCTCCCTCTCTAAATAAAGGACGCACCATGGCTGCCTTCCAAGCAATGGGAACCTCCCCAGAGAGGAGAGACAGGCTCAGCGATGATAGGGGCTGCAACCGTAAAGAAGAAAGGATCTAAACCATCTGACCCAGATGTTTTTTTGGGGTGAAGTATAAGGAGCTCCTTTAGCACCTCAGACTCAGTGACCGCCTGCAAGGAGAAACTTTGTAGCTGGGGAAAAAGAGAGAGGAGCATCGGGGTTAGTCACATTAGAAGGGCTGGGAGATGAGGAAATGATGGGCAAGAAGGCATGGCTGAGTCAATAATCACTTGCGGGCCAACCACTGGTGTAGGGCATTGAGACGAAGGCCGGGGGAAATCACACTATTCTTCCTCAAATATAAAATGAATTGATGTCTGACGTTATTCCCTGCTTCTCTCTTCCAGACGACAAGAACCTGCCAAGTGTGCCTCCTCTCCAGCTCAGCATCCCTGCAGACTACCCAGACCAGAGCCCTCAGTGGGCAGACGACGGGCAAGTGTATGGTAAGAGACACTGGCTTTCTCTGTACCCATACAGTGCATTCGGAAATATTCAGACCCCTTGACCTTTTCCACATTTTGTTAGGTTACAGCCTTATTTGGTAAGGGCGGCAGGTAGCTTAGTGGTTAAGAGCGTTGTGCCAGTAACCGAAAGGTCGCTGGTTCTAATCCCCGAGCCGACTAGGTGAAAAATCTGTCGATGTGCCCTTGAGCAAGGCACTTAACCCTAATTGCTCTTGTAAGTCGCTCTGGATAAGAGCGTCTGCTAAATGACCAATTATTTATTTATTATTTTATTCTAAAATGGATTTTAAAATAATAATAATCATGAATCTACACACAATACCCCATAATGACAAAGCGAAAACAGGTTTTTAGACATTTTAAAATGTATTAAAAATAAAAAATTAAACCTTATTTACGTAAGCATTCAGACCCTTTGCTATGAGACTCGAAATTGAGCTCAGGGTCATCCTGTTTCCATTGATCATCCTTGAGATGTTTCTACAACTTGATTGGAGTCCACCTGTAGTAAATTCAATTGATTGGACATGATTTGGAAAGGCACACACCTGTCTATATAAGGTCCCACAGTTGACAGTGCATGTCAGAGCAAAAACCAAACCATGAGTTGGAAGGAATTGTCCGTAGAGCTCCGAGACAGGATTGTGTCGAGGCACAGATCTGGGGAAGGGTCCCAAAAAATGTCTGCAGCATTGAAGGTCCCCAAGAACAGTGGCCTCCATCATTCTTAAATGGAATAAGTTTGGAACCACCAAGACTCTTCCTAGAGCTGGCCCCCGGCCAAACTGAGCAATCAGGGAGGTGACCAAGAACCCGATGGTCACTCTGACAGAGCTCCAGAGTTCCTCTGTGGAGATGGGAGAACCTTTACATTTACATTTTAGTCATTTAGCAGACGCTCTTATCCAGAGCGACTTACAGTTAGTGCGTACATTATTTTTTTTATTTTTCATACTGGCCCCCCGTGGGAATCGAACAGACAACCCTGGCGTTGCAAACGCCATGCTCTACCAACTGAGCTACATCCCTGCCGGCCATTCCCTCCCCTGGACAACGCTGGGCCAATTGTGCGCCGCCCCCATCTCTGCAGCACTCACCAATCAGGCCTTTATGGTAGACTGGCCAGACAGAAGCCACTCCTCAGTAAAAGGCACATGACAGCCCACTTGGAGTTTGCCAAAAGGCACCTAAAAGACTCTCAGACCATGAGAAACAAGATTCTTTGGTCTGATGAAACCAAGATTGAACTCTTTGGCCTGAATGCCAAGCGTCACGTCTGGAGGAAACCTGGCACCATCCCTACGGTGAAGCATGGTGGTGGCAGCATCATGCTGTGGGGGTGTTTTTTAGCGGCAGGGAGACTAGTCAGGATCAAGGGAAAGATGAACGGAGCAAAGTACAGAGAGATCCTTAATGAAAACCTGCTCCAGAGCGCTCAGGACCTCAGACTAGGGCAAAGGTTCACCTTCCAACAGGACAACGACCCTTAGCACACAGCCAAGACAACACAGGAGTGGCTTCGGGACAAGTCTCAATGTCCTTGAGTGGCCCAGCCAGAGACCGGACCTGAACCCGATCTAACATCTCTGGAAAGACCTGAAAATAGCTGTGTAGCGACGCTCCCCATCCAACCTGACATAGCTTGAGAGGATCTGCAGAGAAGAATGGGAGAAACTCCCCAAATACAGGTGTGCCAAGCTTGTAGCGTCATACCCAAGACGACTCAAGGCTGTAATCGCTGCCAAAGGTGCTTCAACAAAGTACTGAGTAAAGGGTCTGAATACTTATGTAAATGTGATATTTGCAAAAATGTCCAAACCTGTTTTTTGCTTTGTCATTATGGGGTATTGTGTGTAGATTGATGAGTGGGGAAAAACAATTAAATCAATTTTAGAATAAGGCTGTAACGTAACTAATTGTGGAAAAAGTCAAGGGTTCTGAATACTTTCCGAATGCACGAATGCATACTCCACTATGGAGCCTGTTTTAGTCAAATGTACTCTACTTTAACTTTGGGTGTAATGGAAAAAGTAGCCCAACATTACCTTGACAGTTTAAAATGTTACAAATAAAATGTTCAGCAAAACATCACATTTTTTAAAACCTTTTTTAAATTATAATCTTTTTACCTAGTCTTTCAGGTTTCAATGCATTTTCGAGTTGATTTATGCATCACTTTGTCTTCCTCTACTCTCCAGGTGCCAACCCCTTCCTACAAAACGTTCACAGAAACATGACCTCCAAGCTCCTACAGCTCCCAGACAAGCACTCAGTGACTGCACTGCTCAATACTTGGGCCCAGAGTGTCAGACAAGCCTGTCTTTCTGCAGCATAGACAAGAGGCTCACCTCACCTGTCCATCAAACCTCTGCTGGATACAACACAATTTATCACCAAGATTGCAAACTGGAAGGAGTGGGCTACCTCTCCTTGGAGCACCAGCTCTCCCCTACCACTAGGGTGTGCTGCTGAGGGTTCTACACAAACTGTATTATGAGAAGGTCCATTCGGGATGAGTTCTGTAAAGAATTTTGAGTTGAGAAAATGTATAACCAATAACTGAACACGTTGCGGTGTAAAGCTTTGAAGTGTGTGTATATATATACTCCTAAGGGATTTTGTTTTTTTGTTATCATGAATAAAAACTTTTCTGTTTACCTGTGTGTTCATTAACTTAGATACAGGTAACTTCCAAAATAAAGGGAATACTTCAGTAAATGAGGGATACAAAGTATATTGAAAGCAGGTGCTTCCACACAGGTGTTGTTCCTGAGTTAATTAAGCAATTAACGTCCCATCATGCTTAGGGTCGTGTATAAAAATGCCCAGTAGCACAATAATGTCTAGAAGTGATCTCTGACTTGGAAAGAGGGGTCTCAGAGGATTATATGGGGTTTAAATGGTGTGTCTGTCACCAAATCTTAACACAATTGAACACTTATGGGAGATTCTGGAGCAGCGCCTGAGACTGTTTTTTCCACCACCATCAACAAAACACCAAATGATGAATTTTCAAAAAATCGACTAGTGACAAATCTAGCGACTTTTTCTGGTGTTTTTGGAGACTCTGGCGTGAAAGCACGTATCGTTCTTACTCTTCTCAACGAGCAGCGGGTGCTGCCGTGGGCCCCACCACAGTCCCAAAGCACTCACAGGCGGCCGAGTCATTGAGCAGCAGTCCCTCCCAGCTGCAGTCAGAGCAGGAGACGTTCACCCCTATGCGTCCAGACTGCAAATGAATCGAGCATGCAGGAAGCCGCCGCTGGCTGATCCCGCCCTGGCTTACATTCAGGGTGGGATGTAAATATAAAACATTTTTAAAAAACAAGAATCGACAGAAGAAAATTAATTTGTAGTTCTAAACATATTTAGGGTGTTTTTTTACTCACTTTTTGTCTCTCCCACGAGGTTATTCCTCTCTCCTACAGCATCCATCACAATTACATGCACATGGCGAATTAGGTGATGACGTCATTTAGCGACTTCTAGTGACTCTTAAGACAGCCAATAACTGCTTTCCTTACTGAGGAGTTGGCAACACTGACTGGTGTTTCCTTTATTTTGCCAGTTACCTGTACATCCATAATTTCTTATAAGATGAAATACAACTAACTTGACCAACCTACCAACAACGGCACAACAAAATACGTTTAATAGGGAGAAATATAAATTTATGTACATTGAAACTTAAACTTTATAAGTGGTAATTTACTGGAAGTCCTTCAATGGCCATGATGGGAGTCGGTACTGATGTTCGTGAAAGAGGCTTAGGTTAGTACTGGCTGGGCCTGCTGTACTATTGGTCCCTCAATGCATTGGTCTCCTCAGCCTGATCCTCTGTACAGCCTGGCATTCCTTTCTGCGATTCCTGAGTTCAGGCTCTGTTTGAGGGCTGGGAGGGTCACCCCTGACTGGTTCCCAGAAAAGGTACAGGGACATTGAGGATAACAGTTCAACCATAGAATTAGGAATTACATAGGTTCTGAAGTGTCATTGTGCTGTAGTTGCAACAACTGAATATTCCTCTGAAGCGATGCAACGCTGGTGAGATGAGACCTGACTTGGGACAGCGGTTGGAGTTCGTAGACCCGGACAGGACGTGATTGTGGAAAGCAAGGCTTGTCAAAGCATACAACGCGGGACCAGTGGGGTAGATTTCGCACTGGTGGAAGACTGTTGCCTGACATTTGGTCTTAATTTAAGGTTAGGCATACGGTTAGCAGTGTGGTTAAGTTTAGGTTTAAAATCACATTTTAGTAAGATAAATTGTAGAAATAGTGTTTATGACTTTGTGGCTGTTGTAACTTGTGACGACCGTTTTACTTGGCTAGCTAGCGAACGTTAGCAAACAGGTTCCACATTAATAATCGTGCAGAACCCCTTACCACAAACGTCCCCGACCGCATGGAGGAGCCCTGAGACATGGATTGTTCACCGCCACAATATGCAAAGTTCAGAAACAATTGAAGGAGATAGGAAAGGTCAATACACAGATTACCCACATGCACTGACAATGATTTATTTTCCCTTTCAACTGTCCTTAGTGGACATGCTCTCCTGCACTCTCGCAGGAAATAAAATCTGCCATTCGAATGCAACATTGTATCACTACATTTATGTCTAGTCTTTGCAAACTCACCCATACAGACAAGCAAGCATACAAAAACGATTAAGGCAAAGAATACCATCTTCAGTGAAATTATTTTCATGACTTCAAAATACTAGTGCAAGAGTCATGTCACTCTTTATTACACCTGTCAATCTTGTAGTTTGAGGATAATCACCACCATCCGTTCAATGTTCAATTGAAAAACATTCAATATCTTGTTAGAATATTAAATCAAACAACTAGCCTTCACATCTGTCAATCAGTAAAACTGCTTAAAAAAATATTTGAGCAAACTTCATCCGAAAAGCAATGCACTTGCATTTATTTACAATAATAAAAAGGGACTGAATTTATCATAACAGATGGTCAAGCATGAAGGCAAGTGGCAAAAAAAATCAATTTCATTCCCCTGCTACTGGGACTTCAGTTTATCTCCAAACAGGGTTATGAAGAGTCCGTAGAGAAAGCCGCCTGTTAGAATGAGTAGTGTGCTGGACATGGGGCCGAATGAGAACAGCACCCCAAACAGGTAGAGAAGTAGAAGCATCAGCAGAGTTCTGTAGCTCGCCAGTGCGCGCAGGCTTAGTCGCGGCCGTCGGTTCCTCTCCACTGTTCGCCATGTCTCTGGGCTCCTCTGTCTGCCGTCCGCCATGGCCTCGGGGCTGGCCAGGTAGTGTCGTCCCAACCGGCCCAGGAAGTCCGGCCGCGAGCACAGAGCTTCCATGTGACCTCCGAACTGTGGAGGGGAGAACGGTTCTGATTAAGAAATGCTTGGACTAAAACTATGATAACTCAGATTCTGTTAGGCTATATATCACATACCCTCTCATTCACCAGGGACGAGATCTTGAAAAACAGTCTGACCAGCACGGCATTCTCATAGCTCCTGATGGGCTGAAGCTCCGGATCTCCTTGGTACTCAATCTCAAATCTACGCAGTCCATTGATGATCTGCAAAATATATTTAACAGTAATTCCTTTATGATATGGTTGGGGTTCTAGTTTTGGGTAACGGTAAGTTGAATAAGTAGTCTGACCTGCATCCGGCCCAGGTCTGTGAGGATGAGTCCGTTCTCACCCTGAACACAGTCTGGTAGCTGCCTGGAGTTTCCATCATCCTGACCAGAGCTCAGGGTAGCCATCAGCTGAGACAGCTGCCCTGCATTCAGCTGTAGACGACAGAATAGCATGACATATTTTCACCCATAATTAGTTGAATTAAGTTTGATTAATATCAATTGCAGCAGTCTTCAACGTTTAGCATTAGCACATGCTAAATGTTAAGGAAAAGTTTTGTGTAAACCTACCCGAAATATCTGACAGAGGTAGTCCAGTGACCTCTCCAGGAACTCGTGGGTCTTCTTGACACACTCCCCAGTGTCATCCACCTCTCCTCCATTGAAGGTGTAGTTGAGGTCGGGGGAGCCCATTCCAAACCAGGACATGAAGGAGTTATTGGCCGCCACCTCAGCTGACTGATCTGATATCCTCTTGGCCGTCTGCCTCGCCTGGGCGATGATCTGAATGAGCTTCAGGACCTACACCAAAGAAGGATGACAACAGTGACCATGCTTATATGCAGCCTCAAAACATCAGACTAAAAGAGAAGTTGTTGACTGGTTCTAGTGGTCCCGTGTGGCTCAGTTGGTAGAGCACGGCGCTTACAACGCCAGGGTTGTGGGTTCAACTCCCACAGGGGACCAGTATGAAAATGTATGCACTCACTACTCTAAGTCACTCTGGATAAGAGTCTGCTAAATCAGGGTTTCCCAAATTCGGTCCTGGGGCCCCCTTCTGGGTGCACGTTTTGGTTTTTGCCCTAGCACTACACAGCTGATTCAAATCATCAAAGCTTGATGATGAGTTGGTTATTTGATTCAGCTGTGTAGTGCTAGGGCAAAAACCAAAATGTGCACCCAGGGGGGGGGGCCCCAGGACCGAGTTTGGGAAACCCTGTGCTAAATGACAAATGTAAATTTAAGACGAAGGCAGGCCTGGGCGGTTGGGTCTGTTGTGAGTAGCAAGAAGAACATAGTCTTCTCCAGAAAGTCAGCAACACCAACACAGCTCATTTTACTCAACTGAGACTACAGTTAACTGATGATTGACAACATTTGTGAACAGTCAGCCAAGCTAATTCAATTAAGTCCACACAGACTGTGCTTGTAGCAGGTGGTTAACGCTAGCTAGCTCACCATTAGCCTCATTGGCAGTTTTCTCCCAAAGTTGGGTTCAACTCCAGAATTGGAATTACAAACTTGCAAATCTGGAATTGCAATGAAACCACCCCCAAGGATAGTCCCCTCCACTCACCGCGCCCCTCAGCTCTGTGCCGAACATCTGTTTGTACTGGCAGTCCTGGCCCTCCAGGCCGTACACGTGGCTCTTCACCCTGAACACCCTGTCTGTCACCACAGACTGCCGGGCAGACAGGAAGCTGCCACCGTGGCTAGGAGTGAGGAAGACCCGGTGCTGCCGGTGGTGGAGGACGTGCTCCGGCTCCAGAAACAGCTGCTCTCCTGGGGAGGGACAGGGAGGGGACGGATAGGAGAGGACAGGTCAGTGATAGCACAGACTACTGTAGTTGGACATTACTATTAGTGCATCTGCATCACACAAGTATCATAAGGCTGGGTGATTGTTTCTGTCCTTACCTTTCTGAATCATCTCTGATAGGTTTGGCTGAGCGAAGACTTTGGCCACCCTGAAGACCATTAGTGCATTTTTGACGTTGACCAGGTCTATGCGTACCACCCTGTTTAGAAAGCCCTGAAAGAGCTTTGTGTACATGAGCAGGTTCTCCTGAACAAACAAGCCCCTGAAAAAAAAAGAAAAGAGAAACTGGTCAGGAAGATGGATCTGAAAAATTGAGGAATCAGTAAGACAAATACACCAATATTTATTTTATTTCACCTTTATTTAACCAGGTAAGCCAGTTGAGAACAAGTTCTCATTTACAACTGCGACCTGGCCAAGATAAAGCAAAGCAGTGCGATAAAAACAACAACAACACAGAGTTACATATGGAATAAATAAAACGTACAGTCAATAACACAATAGAAAATCTATATACAGTGTGTGCAAATGTAGTAAGTTATGGAGGTAAGGCAATAAATAGGCCATAGTGCAAAATAATTACAATTTAATATTAACACTGGAGTGATAGATGTGCAGAAGATGATGTGCAAATAGAGATACTGGGGTGCAAATGAGCAAAATAAATAATGTAAATAACAATATGGGGATGCGGTAGTTGGGTGGGCTAATTACAGATGGGCTGTGTACAGGTGCAGTGATCGGTAAGCTGCTCTGACAACTGATGCTTAAAGATAGTGAGGGAGATAAGTGTCTCCAGCTTCAGAGATTTTTGCAGTTCGTCCCAGTCTTTTGCAGCAGAGAACTGGAAGGAATGGCGGCCAAAGGAGGTGTTGACTTTGGGGATGACCAGTGAGATATACCTGCTGGAGCGCAGACTATGGGTGGGTGTTGCTATGGTGACCAATGATCTAAGATAAGGCGGGGATTTGCCTAGAAGTGATTTATAGATGACCTGGAGCCAGTGGGTTTGGCAACGAATATGTAGTGAGGGCCAGCCAACGAGAGCGTACAGGTCACAGTGGTGGGTAGTATATGGGGCTTTGGTGACAAAACGGATGGCACTGTGATAGACTACATCCAATTTGCTGAGTTGAGTGTTGGAAGCTATTTTGTAAATCACATCGCCGAAGTCAAGGATCGGTAGGATAGTCCGTTTTACGGGGGCATGTTTAGCAGCATGAATGAAGGAGGCTTTGTTGCGAAACAGGAAGCTGATTCTAGATTTAACTTTGGATTGGAGATGCTTAATGTGAGTCTAGAAGGAGAGTTTACAGTCTAACCAGACACCTAGGTATTTGTAGTTGTCCACATATTCTAAGTCAGACCCGCCGAGAGTAGTGATTCTAGTCGGGTGGGCGGGTGCAAGCAGTGTTCAATTGAAGAGCATGCATTTAGTTTTACTAGCGTTTAAGAGCAGTTGGAGGCCACGGAAGGAGTGTTGTATGGCATTGAAGCTCGTTTGGAGGTTTGTTAACACAGTGTCCAATGAAGGGCCAGATGTATACAAAATGGTGTCGTCTACGTAGAGGTGGATCTGAGAGTCACCAGCAGCAAGAGCGACATCATTGATATACACAGAGAATAGAGTCGGCCCAAGAATTGAACCCTGTGGCACCCCCATAGAGACTGCTAGAGGTCCAGACAACAGGCCCTCCGATTTGACACATTTAACTCTACCTGAGAAGTAGTTGGTGAACCAGGCGAGGCAGTCAGTTGAGAAACCAAGGCCATTTAGTCTGCCAATAAGAATGCAGTGATTGACAGAGTCAAAAGCCTTGGCCAGGTCGATGAAGACGGCTGCACAGTACTGTATTTTATCAATCGCGGTTATTATATCGTTTAGGACCTTGAGCGTGGCTGAGGGGCACCCATGACCAGCTCGGAAACCAGATTGCATAGCGGAGAAGGTACGGTGGGATTCAAAGTGGTCGGTGATCTGTTTGTTAACTTGGCTTTCAAATACTTTCGAAAGGCAGGGTAGGATGGATATAGGTCTGTAACAGTTTGGATCTAGAGTGTCACCCCCTTTGAAGAGGGGGATGACCGCGGCAGCTTTCCAATCTCTGGGGATCTCAGACGATACGAATGAGAGGTTTAACAGGCTAGTAATAGGGGTTGCGACAATTTCGGCAGCTAATTTTAGAAAGAAAGGGTCCAGATTGTCTAGCCCAGCTGATTTGTAGGGGTCCAGATTTTGCAGCTCTTTCAGGACATCAGCTATCTGAATTTGGGTGAAGGAGAAGCGGGGGGGGGGGGGCATGGGCAAGTTGCAGCGGAGGGTGCAGAGCTTGTGGCCGGGGTAGGGGTAGCCAGGTGGAAAGCATGGCCAGCCAGGCAACAAAATGCTTATTGAAATTCTCGATTATCGTAGATTTATCGGTGGTGAGAGTGTTTCCTAGCCTCAGTGCAGTGGGTAGCTGGGAGGAGGTGCTTTACAGTGTCCCAAAACATTTTGGAGTTAGTGCTACAGGATGCACATTTCTGTTTGTAAAAGCTAGCCTTTGCTTTCTTAACTGACTGTGTATATTGGTTCCTGACTTCCCTGAAAAGTTGCATATCGCGGGGGCCGTTCGATGCTAATGCAGTACGCCACAGGATGTTTTTGTGCTGGTCAAGGGCAGTCAAGTCTGGGGTGAACCAGGGGCTATATCTGTTCTTAGTTCTGAATTTTTTGAAAGGGGCATGCTTATTTAAGATGGAGAGGAAAGCACTTTTGAAGAACATCCAGGCATCCTCTACTGACGGAATGAGGTCAATATCCATCCAGGATACCCGGGCCAGGTCAATTAGAAAGGCCTGCTCGTTGAAGTGTTTTAGGGAGCGTTTGACAGTGATGAGGGGTGGTCGTTTGACCGCGGACCCATTACGGACGCAGGCAATGAGGCAGTGATCGCTGAGATCCTGGTTGAAGACAGCGGAGGTGTATTTAGAGGGTAAATTAGTCAGGATGATATCTATGAGGGTGCCCATGTTTACGGATTTAGGGTTGTACCTGGTAGGTTCCTTGATCATTTGTGTGAGATTGAGGGCATCTAGTTTAGATTGAAGGACGGCCGGGGTGTTAAGCATATCCCAGTTTAGGTCACCAAGCAGTACGAACTCTGAGGATAGATGGGGGGCAAGCAATTCACATATGGTGTCCAGAGCACAACTGGGGGCTGAGGGGGGTCTGTAGCAAGCGGCAACAGTGAGAGACTTATTTCTGGAAAGGTGGATTTTTAGAAGTAGAAGCGCAAACTGTTTGGGCACAGACCTGGATAGTATGATAGAGCTCTGCAGGCTATCTCTACAGTAGATTGCAACTCCGCCCCCTTTGGCAGTTCTATCTAGACGGAAAATGTTGTAGTTTGGTGGCCTTCCCAAGCCAGGATTCAGACACTGCTAGAACATCAGGGTTGGCAGTGTGCTAGCGCAGTGAATACCTAAACCTTGGGAAGGAGGCTTCTGATGTTAACATGCAAGAAACCAAGGCTTTTACGGTTACAGAAGTCAACAAATTATAGCGCCTGGGGGGTAGGAGTGATACTGGGGGGCTACAGGGCCTGGGTTAACTTCTACATCACCAGAGGAACAGAGGAGGAATAGAATAAGGATACGGCTAAAGCCTTTAAGAACTGGTCTTCTAGTGCGTTGGATACAGAGAATAAAAGGGGCAGATTTTACTAGTCTGTACCTCAGAGTAAAACATTTCAAGGAAGCACTGCTAACACGCATTTATTTAGCCTGACCTATTCAGTGATCCAACAGATAACTCACCATTTCTCAGGTACACCTTTGTTCTGGTCTGTCTGAGGATTGGTATTCTCTCCTGTGTACCTCCATGGCTGGATGTAGCTAAGCCAAGTCTCCAACACCTAAACACAGAGACAGTGGTGGTATAGAGATAAGAGCACATAAAAAAAAAAAATTGTGGACCCAATGAGTGAAAGTCGTGATTGACACCAACACCCCAGCCAAGCTGAGAAGGTTGAGGATGGAGTTGTAACACCTACCGCTCTGAAGGAGGCATCTAAAGGCCAGTGTCCAAAGCAGTGCTGGAGGAACACATAGAGCTTCTGCTGGACAAAACGCTGGACCACCACCCTACAGAGACAGAGACAGGGCCATAGTGAATTACAGACAAAACTAGATTGACTGTTTAAAGTTACTGTTAAGTGCTGGAGAGAACGTGGACCCTGATGTCTGACCATGGGGGTGCTCACTGCTCAGCTCACCTCTTGAACTCCTCCAGGGGGCTGGCGTGGGAGTGGGCCGAGGGCGAGGAGGAGACCTGCTCAGGCTTCAGGCTGCAGGAGAAGGCATGGAGGTGCTTCACCAGGAGACGCACCACCAGAACGTGCTCCTCTGTCGGGGTGAAAGTCTCCTGAAACCGCAGCCAGTCATACAGAGATCCACATTGGCAGCAGCCAATCACACAAAGCTCCTTGGACCACAATAACCAATCACACAGTGGGCTTGGAACATTCCCCTAATCCTGGTCCCTCCCCTCCCCTAGCCATAGTTAATGTTACTGTTTCTCAAATTACCCTGCTGTTGAAAAAGCCTAGCTGAAAACATAATTCAATCTGTGTCTAGCTCAGAAACAGGCACATACAGTACTTCAAATTGATATTCAGATCCATTATTCTTAGAATGATGAGGCAAGTAGACAATTTGATGATTCATTAATTAAATTATTTAGGGAAATTTGGTTATTCATGTTTTGTATACTGTAGTAGTGTTTGCTCATAATGGAAAGATGTGAGATGAGAAAGACAATGACACACATTAACCAAGGATAGTGTGCAACACAACAGACATCAACAACACATGCTATAAAGAAAAGGACACACACACACAATGAAAACATCAATCTCTTCAAATTCAAAACGTGCTTTGAAGGCACATTCTCCTTTCAATAATGCTTCTCTATGGGCCAGATCCTACTGTGAGATGTTTGACGTTATGTGAATTTTGTGCCGTCAAAATGGGGTCCATCCAAGGATAGGTCTTTGACTGGTTGCGTCAACCAGGCAGTTGGTTTTACAGAATGCACTGTAACGGCATTCAAATGCTTAAAAAAAAAAAAGAGAAGTACCCTTGACTTCCCCATCTTAACCTTAATGCTACTCTGTCCTCAGGGCCTAGGTTTACCTCCAGCAGGCCCGGTGGGAGTGGATGAAAAGGTAAAAGTACTTGGTACGTGTCCAGGGTCCCAGAGCCAGGAGGGGTCAGGGGTTGGCACGGCATGCTGGACATACTGAGACGATAGTGCAGCAGTGCCAGCTGTACGACCCGTCACAACCAGGGGAGGAAGAGGAGGAGGGAAACGACAACAGTGGGGGAAGGAGGAGAAAGGGGGAGAAGGGAAGGAGGTGAACATGAGAATAGAAAGGAGAAAAAAAAAGGATAGAGTGCATCCACAAAGGAAAAGGACTGAACACCAAAAATGGGAGAAAACAAGAAACAAAACAAACAAAAAGATATTGACCACAGGAACACAATGCTATAACAGCTAGGGTGATGCAGTAGCCCTTTCCACACCCAAGACAGGAGAGATTAAACTGTAAATATCCTCATCAATGAGAGGCACAGAAGATACAACACATGGTTAATAACAGGGTTTGTTAAAGAGATTTTAGGTGGAAGAACTGTCCACAGGTAAAAGGATTGTTTCGGTCCAATGGCCATGACAGGTGGTCTTTTAGAGGGGAGAGGGGGTACTGCATCTCTTACACAATGGAGGACCACATACTTAACTTTAACTATACAATCTAACAGAAGATTGTGTACGTACTAGGTTAGTAGGGGACAGCAGGGATGGGAAGGGTATGGCCTGTACACCATTGGGGATATGACAGGTGTATGGATCATGAAAAAGGGTGGTGGCTAGATGATACTTGAACTGATGTAAAGATGGCAACCAGCCTGTCCAACAGCCAAATAAACATCAGAGAAGGGTACTGAAACCGTTAACAGCCACAAACAGACAGCATGCACAGGTCATGTGGGAAGCAAAAGCACTACTACCAGATACACATGCCAAATCAGTGCAGTACATTTGCTCTGCAGTTGCCCATAAGCCAATAATTCAGCAACAAAATAAAGAAAATCATCCAAAAATAAGCCTGACTTTCAAATAAAATTACAAATGCCTGCTGTTTACTGTGCCCTTTTTTGATTGGTTTGACATTGAACTTTGATAGCATTCATGTTTCCTAATCTATGCAAATAAGGAGAGACAAAACGAGTCCAAACCAAAGCCAGACCTCCCTCTGCCTGATTTTCCAGTAACTCTTAAAGAAGCATAAGAAACAGCAACTCATATACAGTATACGTATCTATGCCGTGCAAAGGAGATGGATATAAACTACATTTCTATAGCCCAGGTGTGGGAGTGCAAGTCTTAATCAGGTAGAAATACTCCTCTAATTGAAAAGAGGACAATGTGACCCGTTTTGTGTCCCAGTCCCAGCCATGGGACAGGTTGATTTGACGCTGATCACCATGTGGGGTCCATGTCTTAGTGGGGTTGGAGGAAGGTCTATTATAGCACTCGGTGGGACGAGCCCTGCCGTTGTTCAAGTGAAGGGGGAGAGGGGCGGTAGTGGTGGTGGGGGGGAGATTTTCATCAGCCAGTCAGCCGTGCGTTGCTGCAGTGCAGGGGTGAGGGGGGAACTTGGTGGTGGGAGGGTCCATGTTTGACATGCTCTTACCTTCACCTGCGGGGACTGCAGCTTCTGGTACATCTCCAGGGAGTAGTGATGCAGCCACATCTCCACAAACACCTGGGGGTAACACACACACAAACGTCTTATTCACGATTCCCTAAACACTTGACTGACATCATTCAGACTAAATCCATTCATGACTGACAAAGGATGAAGCCTCACCTGTAGTAATGCCTCGGACCTCCAGATCTCCTGGGCTGCAGGGTCAGCAGTGACCGAGGGCTGATGGGATATGTGGCGTTTGAGGAGGCTGGTGCTATGGATACCATACCCTGCAAAAGGCACGCTGGGAGCCCTGGGCACCAAAGACATGACAGTGAGCACTGAGTTGTAGCATGAGGAAGGAAGGAGAAACTAAGAGGAGGCAAAGGAAAAAGAAAGTGTGTGCTCTTATTGGACAAGTTCAGGTAGCATCTTTCAAAGGTTCTCACCCTACTGATCACAACCCTTTCACATTTACAGAAACCAGTGGTGTAAAGTACTTAAGTAAAAGTACTTTAAAGTACTACTTAAGTCGTTTTTGGGGTACAACTTTTACTTTTATTCTACTACAATTCTAAAGAAAATATGTACTTTTTACTCCCATACATTTTCCCCTCATTACATTTCTAATGTTCAGGCAGGTCAGAATTATGGTCCAATTCACACACCTATCAATATAACACCTTGTCATCCCTACTGCCTCTGATCTGGCGGACTCACTAAACACAAATAATGCTTTTGTAAATTATGTCTGAGTGTTGGAGAATGCCCGTCTGTCCGTAAAGAAAAAAGAAAACCGTGCCGTCTGGTTTGTATAGCATGTCTGAGTGTTGGAGAATGCCCGTCTGTCCGTAAAGAAAAAAGAAAACCGTGCCGTCTGGTTTGTATAGCATGTCTGAGTGTTGGAGAATGCCCGTCTGTCCGTAAAGAAAAAAGAAAACCGTGCCGTCTGGTTTGTATAGCATTTACTTTTACTCAAGTATGGCAATTGAGCACTTTTTCCACCACTGTACTTAAGTACATTTCAAACCAGACTTTTGCTCAAGTAGTATTTTCCTGGGTGACTTTTACTTTTACTTAAGTCATTTTCTATTAAGGTATATTTACTTTTACTAAAGTATGACAATTGAGTACTTTTTATACCACTGACAGAAACATTGACTTTGATTAGACCAATCCCCACTGTAGAGTACCTGGGAGCAGATGGAGACACAGAGCCTCTATTGTCGGCGAATGGAGAGGGGGGAACACTTCCCTCTGTAGGGAGGAAGTACTTGAGGTAGGTGTCCACAAGCACAAAGTACGCATTGTCCGAGCTGCTCACATGCTGGCCCAGAGGGTAGTTCTGAGAAAATTACATCAAAACAATCATGTTAGGTCGAATAATAGTCTGATTATCATGAAAGTTATCACAAACTATCAAAACCTTTCCTGTTGTAATGACAGTTGAGTAGGGTTCACCTTTGGTGTGATGAGACTGGAAGCAAACATGAACATGTAATATTCAAAGGGATCTGGAGATGGTTTAAGGACATACCACCAGACTATACAACAAATTAAATAATTTTAGCAAACATTGTCATTGTCCACATTGTATGTTTGTGAGAAGGCGAGGTCTGAGTGTGAGTTTGAGCATCAAGGATACTGAGCGCCAGGCTGAGTGTCTGCAGACCAGACAGAGGAAACTGCAGCTTGTTGTGAAAAAGTGGACAATCTGGGAGGACGCCTTCCTGTATGGATGCCTTTACAGGACCCTGCAAGAGAAAATAACATCCAAGCTTTACACCAATCACTGTTGTGGAAGACCTTGCTATGTATGAAATTGATAAAGAAAAGTCATGTTTAAAAAGGGATGAGACTTACAGGGAGAAAGCTGACAGGTATTTCATACTTGTACTCCTCTGCTTGAAGCTTGTACACAAGCTTCATCATTGGCCCACTGAAAAGCACATACAATCAGAATTAAGTCAGTATCCAGTACATTACTATTTTTCATGAAGGCTTTAATGTTCCTGAGGGGAAAATTGTCTTAGACACACAGTACTGCTACATAATAGACACTGTACATTATGTCATACACGTCTTGTACAGCCACATACATAATACATAATGTGTGTCACAGTGTAGTGACACACACACCAAAGTAACAATAACACCCTGTGTTTGGAAAGTCTGTTTAGATATGTTGTCCCAAATCCTCCCCGTTTTATTGACCAACCGTAAGTTGATTATTTTTTTACAGACTTTTTGTGCAACCAAATACAATAGGGAGCAATGCTGTAGTGTAAATACACCAGCATTGCTAATAGCAGCTAACACCAAAGGAGCCTGTGAGGCCTACCTAGGATCGAGAAAGTCCATGACGATGTTGTACTCATTGCTGCGTGCCTGCAGGAATCGCAGGTTCCAGCCCACGATGACCCCATCCAGACTGCCAAAAACACTCTCAACAAGCCAGGGGAAGATCAAGTGCAGCTCCTGAAGAAAGAAATATATTAATGCTGTCAGTCACAAACACAAGCTTACTTCCATTATCCCTGCTTCAGTCACCCTCCACAACAATGTCATCAGACCATGGAGAGGAAACTTCCGGTGGAAGACAAGAGGATGAATGCGATTGGGTAACATGGTTGAGTTGAGCTGAACCGGTTTGGGTAAGGATGTTCAATGCTCTTTCTGACCTATTGGCAGATAGGTGCTCTTCCTCTGTAACACACGCACACACGCAGAGTGAGGCATCTGCAGTGCAGCAGCTGTTCCTGAGACCCTGGTTTCCAGACGCTGTGTCACCCTGGCATGATATTCCCTCTGATCCCAACATACCGCACAGTAACAGCTGCCTAGACACATTCCACATGGGCATGAAAGCCTGGAGAATCCAACTTGTGGGTCTGGCCCAACCCTTTCAAAAGATAACATAAACACTAGTAAGTGTTCTATGTAAATCATACAACTCCCAGCAACTGAGAATGACAGGGTAGGCAACAACACAACTGCCACGCTGATCCTTAACACAGGGGTCCCTCAGGGGTGTGTGCTTAGTCCCCTCCTGTACTCCCTGTTCACCCACGACTGCGTGGCCAAGCACGACTCCAACACCATCATTAAGTTTGCTGACGAGACAGCAGTGGTAGGCCTGATCACCGACAACAATGAGACAGCCTATAGGGAGGAGGTCAGAGACCTGGCAGTGTGGTGCCAGGACAACAACCTCTCCCTCAACGTGAGCAAGACAAAGGAGCTGATCGTGAACTACAGGAAAAGGAGGGCCGAACACACCCCCATTCACATCGACGGGGCTGTAGTGGAACGGGTTGAGAGTTTCAAGTTCCTTGGTGTCCACATCACCAACAAACTATCATGGTCCAAACACACCAAGACAGCCGTGAAGAGGGCACGACAACACCTTTTCCCCCACAGGAGACAAAGGATTTGGCATGGGTTCCCAGATCCTCAAAAAGTTATACAGCTGCACCATCGAGAGCATCCTGACCAGTTGCATCACCGCCTGGTATGGCAACTGCTCGGCATCCGACCGTAAGGCGCTACAGAGGGTAGTGCGTACGGCCCAGTACATCACTGGGGCCAAGCTTCCTGCCATCCAGGACCTATATACTAGGCGGTGTCAGAGGAAGGCCCAACAAATTGTGTAAGAGTGATGGAGTGCTGCATCAGATGACCTGGCCTCCATTATCACCCGACCTCAACCCAATTGAGATGGTTTGGGATGAGTTGGACCGCAGAGTGAAGGAAAAGCAGCCAACAAGTGCTCAGCATATGTGGGAACTCCTTCAAGCCTGTTGGAAAAGCATTCCAGGTGAAGCTGGTTGAGAGAATGCCAAGAGTGTGCAAAGCTGTCATCAAGGCAAATGGTGGCTACTTTGAAGAATCTCAAATATAAAATATATTTTGATTTGTTTAACACGTTTTGGGTTACTACATGATTCCATATGTGTTATTTCATAGTTTTGATGTCTTCACTATTATTCTACATATGTAGAAAATAGTAAAAATAAAGAAAAACCCTGGAATGAGTAGGTGTGTCCAAACTTTTGACTGGTACTGTAGTTTGGACCTAAGCACGCACAATTAAATCTCCAACAACACATGCAAGATAGACAACTAACAACACTGGTCTATACAAGCAAACTGCACCTTTGCAGGGTAGTCATCAATGACCTTCACCAGCTCCTGGCACCGCTGGAGAAAAGGTTTGGTGGTCGAGTCAACTTTCAGATTGGCCTGTAAAGAGAAGAGAACATCATCAAAGCTGACAACGGTTACAGCTGCCACAGTGTTAGCTAACTATGTGATATTGACTTGGCTCATGACAACTTCAAGCATGCAACAGATAGTTCACATTTAACTAGCTCATGATTTTTATATATTTTTTATTTCACCTTTATTTAACCAGGTACAGTGGGGAAAAAAAGTATTTAGTCAGCCACCAATTGTGCATGTTCTCCCACTTAAAAAGATGAGAGAGGCCTGTAATTTTCATCATAGGTACACGTCAACTATGACAGACAAATTGAGAAAAAAAATCCAGAAAATCACATTGTAGGATTTGTAATGAATTTATTTGCAAATTATGGTGGAAAATAAGTATTTGGTCACCTACAAACAAGCAAGATTTCTGGCACTCACAGACCTGTAACTTCTTCTTTAAGAGGCTCCTCTGTCCTCCACTCGTTACCTGTATTAATGGCACCTGTTTGAACTTGTTATCAGTATAAAAGACACCTGTCCACAACCTCAAACAGTCACACTCCAAACTCCACTATGGCCAAGACCAAAGAGCTGTCAAAGGACACCAGAAACAAAATTGTAGACCTGCACCAGGCTGGGAAGACTGAATCTGCAATAGGTAAGCAGCTTGGTTTGAAGAAATCAACCGTGGGAGCAATTATTAGGAAATGGAAGACATACAAGACCACTGATAATCTCCCTCGATCTGGGGCTCCACGCAAGATCTCACCCCGTGGGGTCAAAATGATCACAAGAACGGTGAGCAAAAATCCCAGAACCACACGGGGGGACCTAGTGAATGACCTGCAGAGAGCTGCGACCAAAGTAACAAAGCCTACCATCAGTAACACACTACGCCGCCAGGGACTCAAATCCTGCAGTGCCAGACGTGTCCCCCTGCTTAAGCCAGTACATGTCCAGGCCTGTCTGAAGTTTGCTAGAGTGCATTTGGATGATCCAGAAGAGGATTGGGAGAATGTCATATGGTCAGATGAAACCAAAATAGAACATTTTGGTAAAAACTCAACTCGTCGTGTTTGGAGGACAAAGAATGCGGAGTTGCATCCAAAGAACACCATACCTACTGTGAAGCATGGGGGTGGAAACATCATGCTTTGGAGCTGTTTTTCTGCAAAGGGACCAGGACGACTGATCCATGTAAAGGAAAGAATGAATGGGGCCATGTATCGTGAGATTTTGAGTGAAAACCTCCTTCCATCAGCAAGGGCATTGAAGATGAAACGTGGCTGGGTCTTTCAGCATGACAATGATCCCAAACACACCGCCCGAGCAACGAAGGAGTGGCTTCGTAAGAAGCATTTCAAGGTCCTGGAGTGGCCTAGCCAGTCTCCAGATCTCAACCCCATAGAAAATCTTTGGAGGGAGATGAAAGTCTGTGTTGCCCAGCGACAGCCCCAAAACATCACTGCTCTAGAGGAGATCTGCATGGAGGAATGGGGCAAAATACCAGCAACAGTGTGTGAAAACCATGAAGACTTACAGAAAACGTTTGACCTGTGTCATTGCCAACAAAGGGTATATAACAAAGTATTGAGAAACTTTTGTTATTGACCAAATACTTATTTTCCACCATAATTTGCAAATAAATTCATAAAAAATCCTACAATGTGATTTTCTGTATTTTTTTTCTTATTTTGGGAGAACTTGCACAATTGGTGGCTGACTAAATACTTTTTTCCCCCACTGTAAGCCAGTTGAGAACAAGTTCTCATTTACAACTGCGACCTGGCCAAGATAAAGCAAAGCAGTGCGATAAAAATAACAACAGAGTTACATATGGGGTAAAAAAAGTCCAAAAATACAACAGAAAATATATATACAGTGTGTGCAAATGTAGCAAGTTATGGAGGTAAGGCAATAAATAGGCTATAGTGCAAAATAATTACAATTAGTATTAACACTGGAATGATAGATGTGCAAGAGATGATGTGCAAATAGAGATACTGGGGTGCAAAAGAGCAAAATAAATAACAATATAGGGATGAGGTAGTTGGGTGGGCTAATTTCAGATGGGCTGTGTACAGGTGCAGTGATCGGTAAGGTGCTCTGACAACTGATGCTTAAAGTTAGTGAGGGAGATAAGAGTCTCCAGCTTCAGAGATTTTTGCAATTCCTTCCAGTCATTGGCAGCAGAGAACTGGAAGGAATGGCGGCCAAAGGAGGTGTTGGCTTTGGGGATGACCAGTGAGATATACCTGCTGGAGCGCAGACTACGGGTGGGTGCTGCTATGGTGACCAATGAGCTAAGATAAGGCGGGGATTTGCCTAGCAGTGATTTATAGATGGCCTGGAGCCAGTGGGTTTGACGACGAACATGTAGTGAGGACCAGCCAACAAGAGCGTACAGGTCACAGTGGTGGGTAGTGTATGGGGCTTTGGAGACAAAACGGATGGCACTGTGATAGACTACATCCAATTTGCTGAGTAGAGTGTTGGAGGCTATTTTGTAAATGACATCGCCGAAGTCAAGGATTGGTAGGATAGTCAGTTTTACGAGGGCATGTTTGGCAGCATGAGTGAAGGAGGCTTTGTTGCGAAATAGGAAGCCGATTCTAGATTTAACTTTGGATTGGAGATTCTTAATGTGAGTCTGGAAGGAGAGTTTACAGTCTAACCAGACACCTAGGTATTTGTAGTTGTCCACATACTCTAGGTCAGACCCGTCGAGAGTAGTGATTCTAGTCGGGTGGGCGGGTGCCAGCAGCGTTCGATTGAAGAGCATGCATTTAGTTTTACTAGTGTTTAAGAGCAGTTGGAGGCTACTGAAGGAGTGTTGTATGGCATTGAAGCTCGTTTGGAGGTTTGTTAACACAGTGTCCAATGAAGGGCCAGATGTATACAAAATGGTGTCGTCTGCGTAGAGGTGGATCTGAGAGTCACCAGCAGCAAGAGCGACATCATTGATATACATGGAGAAAAGAGTCGCCCCAATAATTTAACCCTGTGGCACCCCCATAGAGACTGCCATAGGTTCAGACAACAGGCCCTCCGATTTGACACATTGAACTCTATCTGAGAAGTAGTTGGTGAACCAGGCGAGGCAGTCATTTGAGAAACCAAGGCTATTTAGTCTGCCAATAAGAATGCGGTGGTTGACAGAGTCAAAAGCCTTGGCCAGGTCGATGAAGACGGCTGCACAGTACTGTCTATTATCGATCGCGGTTATAATATCGTTTAGGACCTTGAGCGTGGCTGAAGTGCACCCATGACCAGCTCGGAAACCAGATTGCATAGCGGAGAAGGTACGGTGGGATTCGAAATGGTCGGTGATCTGTTTGTTAACTTGGCTTTCAAATACTTTCGAAAGGCAGGGCAGGATGGATATAGGTCTGTAACAGTTTGGATCTAGAGGGGATGACCGCGGCAGCTTTCCAATCTCTGGGGATCTCAGACGTTACGAAAGAGAGGTTGAACAGGCTAGTAATAGGGGTTGCGACAATTTCGGCAGCTAGTTTTAGAAAGAAAGGGTCCAGATTGTCTAGCCCAGCTGATTTGTAGGGGTCCAGATTTTGCAGCTCTTTCAGAACATCAGCTGTCTGAATTTGTGTGAAGGAGAAGGGGGGGGGGGGGGGGGGGGGCATGGGCAAGTTGCAGCGGAGGGTGCAGAGTTGGTGGCCGGGGTAGTTGTAGCCAGGTGGAAAGCATGGCCAGCCGTAGCAAAATGCTTGTTGAAATTCTCAATTATTGTAGATTTATCGGTGGTGATAGTGTTTCCTAGCCTCAGTGCAGTGGGCAGCTGGGAGGAAGTGCTCTTATTCTCCATGGACTTTACAGTGATAACACAATATAGGAGTTACAACCAACCAGAAGAAAACTGGACTGTTGCAAGGCTGGGGCAGCCATATAATATTCTAGACGAGACGGGTCACGATTCAAAATCCACTTGACACCTGGGGAGACAACAAAGCAGAAGGGGTTGAGAGGGGCTTCGGCTTTGTTGACATTGTGATTGCTTTCTGTCAAGCAAACTAGCTAGCTGTAGCACCATAGCTAGCTACAGCTGGCTAGATAGCTAACGTTAGCTAGTTAGCTTTGAGTACAGAGATGGCTACAAAATGTTTAAACATTGGAAGCAAGACTAGAGCCAACTAGACAATACACTTAGACGTGGCTGAAACTATGGCTTGGTTGACTAGCTAGTTAACGTTAGCTAATATCAGCAGGCTAGCACTAACGTCTGCTAGCTAGCTAGCTAGCTTTCTGAACAACTATATAAGCTTCCTAACGTTAGCTAGCTTAGCGGCTAACCCATCTATGACAGTGTGGCACTGGAAGGCAGCAGATAACGGTATGGGCTGACCAAGCAATGTTTTTCAAAATAGTCTCATCTCATTATAGAAAAGACAACTGCAACATGCACTGGGTTAAAATGTGTCTTACCTCCCTCGACTACAAATGTTCAGACTTTCCAGTTCAAGTTCCAATCTACCGCGTTTCCATTAGACACAGCAAAGTGAAGCGAAAATGATGTCATTTCCCTAAAAGGATATGGCACGCGACTGCCGCTTTCTTGTGAACACAGCGCACCCATGTGGATAGTACATTAAGGAAGGAAGAGCCAGGTAGGCTAATCTAGGTAGATGGCAGTGTTGCAACAAAACATTGTAGTAGGCCTAGGCTCATCGCTGGCTCATAGACTACATGGAATTGTGATAAAGCAATATTACTAGCTGTTAAATATAGTTACATTTACCTTCTAAGTGTATCATCAATTAATCAATCAGGTTAATCAATCATCATGGATAGTATATGCATGCAAATGTATTGATAAGGAATTCAACGAATCTAAATCAAGATAAGTGCAAAGTATGCTTTTTGCATGACTGTAATGTATGCACACATGACATGTATGCACACATGACTGTAAATCGCTTTGGATAAAAGCGTCTGCTAAATGGCATATTATTATATTATTATTAATTTCACAGTGTCATGCCCCTGTGTTAATTGAGCATTAATTCCCAGGGGAACAGCCCTACTTCATACAAAGCATATTACATCCTGTTTTGATTTAAGCACACTCATCCCTCACAAATACCCTTGGAGTTCTCTGTTCTGCCTCGAAATTAGGCAGTGTGTCAAAATGATTAATCAATGGCTGATTAATAATTATAATTTCATGACTTTAAGGCAGAGCGTTATTGCAGGCGCATCCCCATCCAGGCATTCAATAACCTCCTGTCTTTCTCTGTGGAGGCCGATCTGGCTTATCTGATATGATAATACCTCTGATGTTCAAACACTAAAACCTCATGTGTTTGCCAAGATCGCTGATGTTAAACTTGTTTTTCTCTCTGTCATGCCACTTGATAAGCTTTTCAATTTCATTCAATCATTAAGAAATGGACTAGTGTTATTCTGGTGTTAGCCTAAAGGCAGTGGTGTAAAGTACTTAAGTAAAAATACTTTAAAGTACTACTTAAGTAGTTTTTTTTGAGTTATTGGTACTTTACTCTACTATTTATATTTTTGACAACTTTTACTTTTACTTCACTATATTCCTTAAGAAAATAATGTACTTTTTACTCCATACATTTTCCCTGACACCCAAAAGTACTCGTTACATTTTGAATGCTTAGCAGGACAGGAAAATGGTCTAATTCACACACTTATTAAGAGAACATCCCTGGTCATCCCTACTGCCTCTGATCTGGTGGACTCAATAAACACACATGCTTCGTTTGTAAATTATGTCTGAGTGTTGGAGTGTGCCCCAGGCTATCCGTAAATAAAAACAACACAAGAAAATGGTGCAGTCTGGTTTGCTTAATATAAGGAATTTGAAATTATTTATACTTTTACTTTTGATACTTAAGTATATTTTACCAATTACATTTACTTGTGATACTTAAGTATATTTAAAAGAAAATACTTTTAGACTTTTACTCAAGTAGTATTTTACTGGGTAACTTTCACTTTACTTGAGTCATTTTCTATTAAGCTATCTTTACTTTTACTCAAGTATGATTACTGGTGCGTTAGAGTATGGTAGAGGAGATAAGTAAGAGGAGGGAATGTAAAAGCACAGTTTCAATGGATATCATCATCCCTAGGCCTCTTTACACTATACGGCCTCTTTACCCAACACTACTTTGACGCAACAAACTAGGTCCAGGAGAGATACTTGTGTAGTGTAAAGAGACAGATCTAGATTCAAATCTCTCTTTAAGAGATCTCTCCCACACTACCTCTGGAGATAGTGTGGCAGACATCTACACCACCTATCCCCCTTTGAGTGGTACAGTGTAAAGACAATGGCTCTCCCACACCACAGTGGAGTGCAAGCAAATAAAAATAATAATAATATGATTAATTTCCCTCAGCCCCAAACCCCCCTCCAACCCATTACGTCATACCACTTAAAACCAATGGCAACCCGGAGAGGACATTTTAGGCAACAAAGACCCTGTGTGGTATTATAATTTATTATGAATGAATTAAACCAACAAGGTCAGCCTATTTTAGTTTCATTGTGAGCGGTGTCAGAGGTCTCACCTTTTAAAAATGTGTTTTTAAACAGGTTCCTTAGCAACAGTGTGAGAAACAAAATTTGCCCTGGTCCCTCTCCGAGGACCTATGAGTCAAACTGCTTCCTGTATTATGAACAGAAATGCTAATTGGCCTTTGTTCTTCTTCTTCTTTGATTAGGTTTAACGGTGGTTGGCATCCAATTTGTTGCATTACCGCCACCTACTAGACTGGAGTTCAACTCCCCTATCTTTCCTTGAAAAAGAAAATAAAGAAATACCCTACTATCTAACACTACACTCACAAATTCAAAAATATGATTAAATAATTAACACCACCCTACTCCACTATTTAAATATATTAATTCCTACCTCATGCCCTCAACCTGAAATGATGGGACATCACCACTAAACACTCCCTGTAACTCTTCTGATGTCAAGTCTCGCACACCCAAATACCTCTCTGAAGCTGCCACCACAACCTCAATTTCCATCCCTGCAGTACAATTAATAACCATTGCTATAAATGCTAAAAATCCAATCTTACTGCAACATATATCATTTGTTGGCCTATTCCTCTATACTGGTACATGTCTACTACTCTCACCACTCCTCCCCCTTGACCCATCTTCCTCTACTTTCTCCACTGCCTCAGCATATGACAACTTCTTCACTACTCTTACCCTGGAAACCTCAACCTGCCTCTCTCGCACGGGACATTTCTGATCCCCAGCCCCATGGGCACCCCTACAATAAGCACATACCACTACTTTCCCCAATGCTACACATTCCTTTGTCTCATGACCTTCTGCACATTTCTCACACCTTGGAACCTCCCTCCTACACACTGCTGCCACATGCCCATAAGTTAGACACCTGTAACATCGTAATGTATTCGGCACATAAGCTCGTACAGGATAACTTACATATCCTAACTTCACTTTGTCAGGCAAAGACTCAACTTCAAAACTCAAAAGAAATGACTCTTCTGTTTCCCCACTCTCGCCACCCTGTTTGCGTCGCACCAAACGACGAGCATCACAAACACCGGGAATCTTCCCCTTCAGTTGGTAAACTTTTACATTTACTGCTACCCCAGTAATCACTCCTTTCAATGGCGCCCTTTTCTTGAGAGCGAAACAATTCACAATTCTTCCCCCCATTTGTTTAACTCTGAGCGCCTTCTCCCACTGAACAAACAGAAACACAAACAATTATCACTAGACCCCTTCTGGTTACCCTCACCGATTCCACTATACCCAACACTCTTTTCACCCATCTTGAAACCACAATTGGATCAGCCAAAAGGCAAGGGTCCACTTTTTCCCAAAACTTCACTCCTACTGTCACATACTCATCTTTATCCTGACCCTCTGTGCAAGCCTCGGGCTCCGAGTACTTCACCACACCTACCACCTCCGATACTTCACCCTCATTCACTTCCATTTCTCCTCCTGTCTTCAGCTCACTGTGCTTACATTTCCTACCATTCTTCTTTAACAAACCTTCTCCCTTATCTCCTCAATTTTTTACAGACTCAAGCTCACAGTCTTCCTCCCTCTCTCTCTCTCTTAGACCACCTCTGCCTCTCTTTTTCCCTCCATTCCTCCTCCGTCATCCAAGTATACGTCTCCTTATGATAATACTGCACTTCTCCTGACATACATCTGTTTCTTGCTTTCTCAAGGGACGCCATTTACGAGGCTCTCCCATTTGGCAGTTCCCCCTACCGGTCTTCCTTCCCGTCTGTCTCCTGCGTTCTCTACCTCCTGCTAATTGGCTTTATGCAAGGCACCACTTAAATGTGAAATGAGAGCAGATGATTAAAGGTGTGTCAATGCATTATATTAATGAATAATGTGAACCACTTCTGAGCGTGTCTCCTTTGATTGTATAGGTTTGGTTGCATAGGTTTGAAAAACGTTTTTGGTAATGATTATCAAAGGTGACGCGGAGAGGGTACACAGGACAGTGATTGTAAGAAATTGGGTATCAAATGAGAGGAAAACCATTATTATTCACTGAGACATTCCAAATATGGTATTATTGTATTCTGCATATGAATTCTAACCTTCTTATTTCTTTGATGTTTTTAGACACAAACCACGCACACATATTGCAGTTCATGTTATAAGTCATTGTTAAGATTGGAGACCCGGCAGCCTAGTTAGTTAGGTTTTGTAGCACATAGTTAGTGACCAGACGGACTAGTGTGATAAAAATGATGGTTTTATTTACAGTGTTGTAGGCACGCAAATGATGACTAAGAAAAAAATGACATATGGGGCGTTCACATGTTGTCAGATTTATCGGAAGTTCGGAGTTCCGACTAGGACATTTTACTTGATCTACTCTCCAAGTCGTAATTACAAGTGGGACACTCAGAGAAAATGTTGTTACCTATGTTGCTGAGTTGTGATCAATGTGGATACATTGCTAGTTACATTAGCTACACTATCAATGCAGTAGCTACATTATCAATGTGGATGATGTAGCTAGTTTGACCATATGTCAATGTTAAGCAAGCTAGCTAACATTATCATTAGCAACGTTCGTTAGCTTATCAAGCCTATTGGTTAAAGAATTGGTCCGATTTCAAATGCACTTCACCTCAATTATGTCAGATTTATGACTTCTCAGTTTCCGTCTTCCCACGAGCACATGATCACCCCATTAAATAGCCAGAAAAAAGGAAATGGTCTCATGTAGGATATACTAACAACAGGTGGATCCACAAATGAAACTAAAATATATCTCTAAACAGGACACAATAAAATATTTATTTTACATTTTAAAAAATCATGTTAATTGGAAATAGTATAAAGCATTTAAATTAGCACAAAACGTAATATTTTGTCACTGACATTTTAGAATGGATTATCCCAAACCACTACACAGGTAAAGTGGTACATGAGAAGGGGGCACGCTACCTAGGCAAGAAGAGCAGGCAACATGAGACTCTCAAGATGGTGAGTAGTCTAGTGGTAGAAATATTACAAATTAAACACCGTTTTTTA